AGATCATTTTTTGCCTTTCTAAATTATCACTTTAATTAATATATGTAACCAATAACCATGCCACTTAAACATTATAATAACAATTAGAAATTGTCCTTATATAAGACTATATCGAGTATTGGTAGGACTCATGCGAAGGCGAGTCTGAGGAAAGGCCAGACCTTTGTCAGTTAATCAACGGCCAAGCGGTAGCTAAACAACGCTACGGTGTCCCGGGATGAAGGGCATTATTTGCGGAGTAATAACAGGGCTTCGAGACTCGAGATCTTATATCTCAGGGTTACTGAGTGCAATACAATATCACATACTCTGTATGATATTGAGCTGCTGGCATGCATGCAGCTGGCCACGAAGCTTAACATCGGGTAAGCGACAAGCGCGTGTCGTCAACAAATTTCCTTACCATATATTATATATATCATACCTATAAACATAAAAACTGAATAAATAAAGAAAAGTTACTGATTATGTGGTCTTGCAATAAATTATAGGAATTAAACCATCCATATACCTTAGGTATGTCCAGTAGGGGACTTGCTGACTTCTGATTGGCCCATTTGAATCGGATCAACAACTATCGGAGTGGATTTGTATATTGGATCAACATTTCGGTTGCGTTTCCTAAACTTCAACGGAGTAAATAGTTGATCCGGTCGGAACCACATTTGTATGAAAAATATTATATTGGATCAACAAAAACCACCCGGATCAACATAGGTTTTCGGATCAACAAAGTGCTCGCGATATAGCACGCATGATCAACAATTGACGGATTTTTATAACTATATATATATATATATATATATATGTGTGTGTGTGTGTGTGTTTTTTGCTTTATATACCTACAGGTATGTTGATAATTATTATATGTTATTTTAAAAGTTTTTTAAATAGGGTTTATTTCTTTTTTTAAGTGTTATTATTATTTTAGCCTACCTTTACTCAATTAATATACAAAGGCTTCAGCATTTTTGATCTAAAAACGTACATAAAAACGCTATAAGTATTAATTAAGACCTATAAGTACTCCTATGAATGTCACTATTATACTGAGAGTTTTCTCAAGAGATTGCAGGGTACGGTTAAATTCGAAGTAAATAATTAACATACAGATGTTTAGTAGGCTATATATCATACTAGCTGATCCGGCAAACGTCGTTTTGCCATGTTTATCATTTATAATAAAAAATAGGGTTTGATCGTTGAGGGGTAAAAATAAGTGGTTGTATGTATTTTTTAATGCTGTATCATAAAAAAATAAAAATAAAATAAATTATCTAAAAATTTAAAAAAAAATTAGGGGTGGATTACCCTTAACATTTAGGGGGATTTCGTGAGAATCGGTCAAGCCGTTTCGGAGGAGTTTAGCTACAAACACCGCGACACGAGAATTTTATATATTAGATTAAGTTGCACCTTAAACGTAATATATTACGTTAGTATCCCTGAATTTATTATTTTGGTTTTTAATTGACTTCTAAAAAAAGGGGTTTCAGTCTGACCTGTATGTATACGATTGTTGGAATTACATACCTAATAAGTTTTCCAAAAAGTATAGCCAGTTAAGCAGTGTTGACCTAATGGCTTCAGCGTGCGACTCTCATCCCTGAGGTCGTAGGTTTGATCCCCGGCTGTGCACCAATGGACTTTCTATCTGTGTGCGCATTTAACATTCGCTCGAATGGTGAAGGAAAACACCGTGAGGAAACCGGCTTGCCTTAGACCCAAAAAGTCGACGGCGTGTGTCAGGCACAGGAGGCTGATCACTTACTGGAATATTGGATTGTAAAATGATTATGAAACATATACAGAAATCTGACCTCAAAAAGGTTGTAGCGCCACTGATTTTTTTAAAGTATAGATTTAATTTGGGTATATTTCAAAATTGATTTAGTAGTTATATATATGTATCATATATATACTTTCTTAAATAACGTTAACAGTTATTTGAAGCCAGTTTAATTTTTCTTAATTACTTAATTCAACCGATTTTAGGAGTAGTATTAATTTTTTTTTAGGAAAACACAGAGTTCAATTACTAACATAAATGCAATAATAAATAATAAGTTTAATTTCACATGTTGGTGATTTTTTTTTATTGTTGACAGTTTTTAAAAATAGTATTGTCTTTGATTAACATAACCTTTACACATTTAAAGAAAAAACTTTTTAACCGGATTAAAGTTATGTATTATTATAAATTTACAACTATTTAACATAATTTTAAATTTATCCGACGTTTCGCGTGCTTTACAGCATGCGTGGTCACGGTGACCAATATGTTAAATAATTGTTAATTTATAATAATACATAACTTTAATCCGCTTAAAAAGTTTTTCTTTAAGTTTTTAAAAAGAAGAAATGTATAAGTAAAACACGTGGCAGTGTTTTACACATTATCATAATTATCAACAGATGTCTTTATGTACTATGTTGATATCATTCTTCGCAACAGAATGAATTAAAACTACACACAGTTAACTATGTTGCCTTCTCTCCTATGGTAAGGAGACCCATTTCCTTTTTTTTTTAATTTTGACGTATTTAACAAGTCAATATCAACTTTATTTTTGATGTTGAATACAAACTTATACTGCACAATTTGTACGCGACCTGATTTAAAGCTAAAACACGTAAGTAACCCGTAACATAATTCCACCCGTATCACCTCGACGTCCGTCGTTCTACAACTGGGCGTTTTTTAAGGCAGTTTTTGCCGCGCACCACTACAATGTGAAACCAGCTGACCACTGAATTATTTCTGAACCCATTCGACATAGGGTTCTTCGAGAAAAGAACCAATTCTTAAAAGGCCAGCAACGCACTCGCGAGCCCTCTGGCATTGAGAATGTCCATGGGCTGTATCACTTAATATCAGACTCCTGTCCTGGTTGCCCCCTGTTCTATTAAAAAAATGTAAAAACGTGGTAGAATAGAAGATCCTAGAAACTAGATATTGTACGGTTTTTCATATTGTATACATTTGTGACGTAAATAAGTGATACTAAGAAATTGTTATTGGTTCGAAGATTCATCTGAATTCTTATCAATTTCCTGTTCGTCATTCCTACATGTTTTATATTTTAAAATCTATAAATAGTTTCGCGTTTTAATCTTGATACGTTGTTTTATATAAGTGTGTAATTCTTTAAGTGTTCATGTGTTTTAAGTAGAATTTTTGTTCAACTGAAAATTTAGTTTAAATTACGCCCTTTAAAGATATGATAGAGTTTAGTTGATGTTATGTCAAACCTCCGTCCTTGGACACTTATGTCAGAGGAAGGAGAGGAGTTGTCAAAATTTAGCTAAAGCATTTATCTTGGAAAACCTTTTCGTGTTACAATTTTCTTCTTCTTTTTACTCTATACTACCTAGTGTGATCTTCTATCTAAAACTAAGAACTGGCTTTCACAATTTGACTTAAGATCTTCATAACATACATTTAATACTCTTAATACAAGACATGATGGAACCAGCTGCCCACTAACGTATTTCCACAACAATTCGACTTAGGGTCCTTCAAGAAAAGAGTGTACCAATTCTTAAAAGGCCGGCAACGCATTTGCGAGGTCTGCCTATGTAAGTGTCTATGGGCGGCGGTATCACTTAATGTCAGGTGAACCTCCTACCCGTTTGCCTCATGTAACATTTAAAAAACGATTTTGAATTTTAAAATACTGTTTAGTATTTTAGAGTAGTAGTTTTTTAATACAGAGAATCGCTAATAAACGCGTCCATATGTCAAAGATATAGAAACTCTATTCGATTTGCAGTTGGTTTCTCCGAAGCCACATCAATTCCATTGTAACAAGATCCCATTGTTGGGACAAAGCGTGTGTAAAGTGCGTCGTTTTTTGTTTGATTGTGTAACTGTTTACACACAACAACGATTTCATCTTCCGCGACGTTTTGCAGTGTTTGTAAATACGTATATCATTTGAATAATTTCGTATTTTGATTTAATGAGACTCGGAATAGAGTATTACGGGATAATAGACTCTGAGCAGTCTATTGTATAATACTCGGTACAAAATTATTACATGTCTGAAATTACTATCTAAGTGGAGTGAATTTGATTTTATACGCCAAAAATAAATGTTTTTAAATATTTTAATTGCGTTAAAATCTGTTTAGCAGCGTTATTAAAGCTAAGTGCTTAACTAATTTTTAATACGAAATTTTAAGTGAAAAAATAATACTATTAAAGTTTGGTCGGATTTTTTGTAATTATGCTCTCTCTTCATGCTTACGTCTGAGCGACGTCAGCAAGGAACTTCTGGAGCGGACAATCTGTTTTCTCTGCTTTCTGAGATTGGGATGGCTGTCAGTATAGCTATTGGAAGTTACAGAATGGGCTCTGTTATAAATATTGGCTATTGAAAGGGGAATAGCAAAAACACATTCATTCACCATTGGTTACGTAAATGTATGTTAATTACGTCCTCGTTCACACGTTAAACGACACGGCACGTTGCGTGTGATCGACTGCATTGTAAAGAAATAATCTTCGTTGGATTATTTTTATATTCCTTGCTTGTTAAGATCTATATATAGCAATTAAAGAAAATGTGTTTGATGTGTTTGATTTTTTTATTAACAAATTTTTCTTAGAAATTTCCACACTTACACCTTATGAAAAAACTTGAAATTTATATATTATATATATGTATATATATTTAAAATATGGAACATTTTGCTAATACCCAATAGCAAAAGGAGTATTCACAATTCTAGATGAATACTATACATATGTTATGGTATAATAAGTGATTAGATAAAACATTCTTGTATTTAAAAAATCAAATCTTTGTCATCAGGCTACGTTTGATAATTAATAAATAAAATTCTACTATAGTATAGCCGACGATTACAGCTATGTATCCGTAGCAATACGGTCGAGACAGAAAAATCCAATTATATGATTCTGAACGTGGAAAAACGGTCAAGTTTAGCAATTGCATGGCAGGTCACTTTTGCTTTGCCAAAAATGTATCAGAGCAATGCGTCTGATATTATTAGAAGTTAGTTATGAGCTTTAAATCTTTCTCAATATATAAAATTTAAAAAAAATAATAATAAGCATTGGAAATGGTCTTATTTTATGAAGAAATTTTGTTTTAAACATTGATCTCTTGTACTGTGTGCAAATTCGCTACTAAATTTTACCTAGGTATTATATTTAATCTAAGTTTTTATTAACAGTATTATATTATAATAAATCATCCAAACAATATTGATGTATACAAATTGACCGGCATTCAATTTAGTTGAATGAAGGGATGGTCTACTGTGGGTGCGGTAATGGCTACGTTGAAAACTGACATTTAGCCAATTTGTTGTATGACTCATTTCTGTTATGATACATGTACAGATTAAGATATAAACGTTATATTATATATTTGTTTTAAAATATCTTTTCTTTATTACAACTGCGCAACTACAGAACCTATGTTTTACATATTCATAAAAATAAAGTCTTAATTGCACCGTTTTAACTACAGTGATCTTAATGAATTTTTCTCGCAACTGTAAATATTACTTTATTTATAAATGACGTACGAATAAACTTGCTCATAATATATATGTTACTTAAAGAATAAGTTTTAGTATTCTTTAGCATTTCTGTAAATATTTATTACTTTTCAAGGTAAGCGTCTAGTTACGACAGTTAATATTGAATATCCATATTGGAGTTATTACTTGCACATGTGTGAGGTATTGACGTCTGTGATCTATAGATCTAGATAGAGATATGTATATTATAAAATACAGAAAAATAATTTATATGCAATAACGCTGATAGTCTGTGGCTTCAAATATCAATCCCAAAGTTTTAGCACCCAGATTCGATATGGTTCATTTAACATCTGTCGGAAATCGCAACCTGGGATAGCATGGTACAAAACTTCAATATTGAAGGGATTGCTATGTATGTTCTGTAAATTATCATAAAAGTGGAGCTTACGCTGTAAATAAACTGCAAATGCTACAGCCAATCGGTTGGCTTTTTTTTCATAGCAGCATTGGAGACGTGAAGGTTTTAATCAATATCGATAAGTTTGTATGATTAGGACAAACCTACCTGTTAGTGGACAGTTACAAAAATCGAATATGGAATGTTTATATTTTTCATTTGTTTTTCTTGTCTAGCCGAACGAAGGAGCTGATAACGAGGTAGCTTTCTAATACTTGTATTTTTCGCAGCTAACATTGTCCGATTCTTTTTGCTTACACTGATTTACTTGAGCTTCAACGCATTTTTCTAATATGTATTTTGCGTAGAGAAAACAGCTATAATTATCGCAGTACCTATTAGTAGACAGCTTGTTACTAAAGTTTTTTCGGAATCCAAACCCGACCTTGACATTGAACGAGACGGGGAAACCGTCTCAGTTGTGGGCATAATGTGACTATATTTAGAGCTCTTATAATGTTGCTTATATCATCCTTCATTCATATATAGCTTATGAAGCAGTAATCTTGCTTGTTGCATGCCTTAAGGATCATGTTGTTAATCATTTCTTATGTGTTAGCGCTTGAGCATGACTTAGATGTGAATAGAAATATCTATTTCAAAATCACACAAATTTCACGTAGTATAATTAAAGATTATTTAAAAAAAAAACATGTTTACAAAAAATATTGTCAAATGTCAATATAATAATAATACGCCTTTCATTTCTAAAACTTACAATTAAATAATTATAATACAAATTCTAAACTCTAGTTTTTAGAACCCCATCCAAAATCCAACTCGTTCCAAAGTTCCCTTGCCTAGGCTTGCCGGGTCTATCTGCCGCCTGCCAGCTGCACTAGGTTGTTGGACCATATAGAATATAGATATCCCTTAAGGGGGGCCGTTCAAGCATTACGTAATCAGATTTATCCCTCCCCCCTCCTTCGTCTTGTCAGCAAAAGTAAGCAAAGCTCCGAAAATTTATAGTAGGTACATAAACGTATTAATTTTTTGTAGGAATTCTCGAAAATGCATTTCGTTTTCAAGCATAGACAATTTGTGGGTAATATGCGCAAAACAAGTAAATAATTACTGTTGACGTAATCACCAAATAAGAGAATCAAAGACCCCCCCACCCTCTATGGTGCTTACGTAATACTTGAACGGACTCCAATCAAGGAAGATGCAATATTGGATTTTAATCTATTAAATTGAATTTTGATAATGGTTAGCTAAGAATTGAAGTTAACCAATATACAATTTTAACATATTTTTCATTCATAGCTTCCGAAATTATAACTAAAAAATATATTTTCTGGTTAGCATTTTGTCCGGTAAACTGTATTTCAGTAAAACCCATACCTCTTATGTAAGGGTGATTAACTACTCACAGCCCACGTAATCGCCCCTTCAAGGTGTAATTTCTGTAAGCAGACTGAAAGTTCTTGAAAGGTTTCTCTTACTAGCATTACAATTTCCCTTCCCTGTTGTATTAAAACGGAGCTGAACAGTCTATATTTAGAATATAAAAATAATACATATAGGATAAAATTTATTATCATTATATGTGTTATCGCATAAATGATACGCCTACGGTCATTCAAAATTACTGCAATCGTATAATAATTTAATTTAGGGTACTAATTAATTTTTCAACCAACCTAAAATCGTATGTGATGTGTGTGTGTGTGATGTATGAGTTCATTACGTTCAAGTAGATGTCCTACCAATGTTTGTCGAAATAATTCAACGTTTTTCTTCGCGGAACTTGATTGATTATAATATAAATTTATTGATGCATCCAACTGTAGTGAATGAACTACAGGGTCAAGTTTGAGCTGTTGATTTGGTCCAAATCACAGGAATTAAAAAATTCCTTCAATTAACAGAAATTCTAGTTTCACCGCAATCACTCGCAGCTCAGTAGATTTGCAATCATTTAGTTGATATTTTATTACTCAGGAATTCTAACTTACGTCCTATTTACAGATATTCACAGAGAGTGTGACGCATCTCCACGATGCACGCAGCCGATCTCAACCGCCGGACTCTGGTTTCTCAGAACCAGCGAACAACAATATCAGTGAGGATAACAACAATGGACCGATATCCCTCAGGGAGATGCAGAATATCGCCAACAATAATGCGGCGGTATACATCGTCAGTGAAAATGAGGAACGGAATCGTATTCGGGAGTCCGTTGTCGAGTTTGAACCACTGCCTCGTATACGTGTACTGGATCCGTTGGAGAGATGTGCCGATTGGTTTGGTAAGTGAAGAACTAAGAACTAAGTCTAATAACTACATTTATATTGATTAAAAAGGAAAATACAAATATACACGCAGAACTCCATTACTTAATTAATGGGTAAATATTTGGGAATTACAACTGTCGAGAAAGACATTAAAAGATCAACCGAACAATACAAAAGGAGACTTCAGTAGCACGTCAACCCCCCTAGCTTCGGGCCTCTTGCAAACTAATTTTTTAATCTTGTTCATATTTATACAATCTAAAACTTTAGATTTCTGAATTTTGAAGATATGTTAGAAATTTAATGAATTTAATTGTCAATAAAATATTAAAAGTGTCGTAAATTAATACAAATTATTTAAATTATTTAAAATTTTATCATTTAAATTTATTTCTTCGATAATAAAAACACGTGGCATTTGAGACTTCAATAAATTATTTTGCATAATGTTTAATCAATTTTCTTTACAAAATTTTAATTTTAAAAATAGAATTTCCATAAGGTAATTCGCCCTTCTCACTCTCTCTCAATCGTTCTCAATAGCTCTCTCCCTTTTCTTCGACAAAAACGCTACACATCTTCGTGACGCTAATATAATTATTATTGCGTTTTATCCGTAAAAATTTTACCCTCATGCGCCTAAAGAAGTTTCACTTCATACAAGATAGGGGCCTTTGTTATATATAGTAACAAAACATAGTTTAGTCTGTATATTCTGAAGACTAATAACATTTTCCAAGCCGTTAGTGTAGACTTTGTAGACGTTGAAGTCTGAATAGGTCTCGGCAAAACGGTCGCCTAAATAATTCTGATTGTTAAAACCGAACTCGTTCACGTTCATTGTAGTATTATATATAAAGAAGAACGAACTGGTAATAAACGTTGTGCCTATAGTAGTGATTACATTACGGCACATGAAGTTCCCCAATAGACGGTTGGCATTCCCACCATATATAGATACCATATGAATGAACTTATTGCTTGATTACAGTGGAATCTATATACCTCGAATGTACAGGGAAATGCAAAAAAATCGAGCTTACGAGTTTTCGAGTTAACAACTTCGAAGATACATATGATTTAACTGCTGAAATTTCGACTTACAGAAGCGCGATTACTAAGTGTATTTTTCGATTTTTAGAGTCGAATTTGAATAACTATATAACTTAAGTTTTGTAGTATTTTTTTTTTACATATTAACAATAGATTAGAAGCCCCAAACCCGCTTATAAATAAATATATGTATGTATGTATTATTTATTACCGCGTATTTAGGTATTGTAGCGGAAGGGAATGGCATTTTTTTCGAGTTATAGAGATTCCACTGTATATCTAAAATCGACGCGATCCGCCGATTACTTTCTAGAAACCATATTTGTGTCGTATGGTATTTTTGTTTGTTTTAGTTTTTTTTTATGTCCATAACAGACAAGTGGAGATGGATGAGAGACGCACGCTTAAACAATACATGTATAAAATAATTACTATGGTCTGTTTCAGCTGGAGATGATTTTCCCAGAAACCGATTGCAATACCTTAGAGAAATTGGTCGCGGATGGTTTGGCAGGGTGAGTTTATTTATTAATTTACTTGTGTTATCATTTATATCATTGTTTGTGTCACTTCACTCTAGTAGTACTATTACCAAGGGAATGTAGAGAGAAGGAAGAGAAGTCGACACTTTGTCGACGCCATATGGCTATAAAAAAAGAAAAATAAAATATGTTTATTATGGAATATAAAATACAGGTATCACTTATTCCACCTCATTAAATTTGAATCGGTACACATCGGCAAGAAGACAGGGCGTGAGCCGAGAGAAAAAGCCGGCGTAACAAACTCTTGGTACTCTTTTAAAATAGCAAATCATCATACAAAATGACTATGTCAAACAACACTTATTTTAAAACATATATCGCAAATTAATATAATATTTAATAGAAGTTGCCTGTCTAGCACTAGTCCCTGGTTGTTTTATCAACTAGATAATCGTTAACTTTATATACTATATACCTACCTCCCGGTATATAGTCTATAAAGTTAATAAAAAATAAATCATAAAATACTACTGAGGTCTCAGTAGAATGCGAAAGCGACTTCAAAGGCCTCTTTGATGCAGTCGTGTTGGTACTATCCGAGGTGATTTATTGAGTAGGTATAGCTCACCGGGTTCTATGTGTAGCAGAATGCCTGAAGTGAGTCGGGTACCACATACCCCTGCTGCATTTAGTGCGGGGGGTGCGTAAACACATTTCCAACTTAGTTTAAAATAAATGTTGTTTTAACTTAAAATATTTATATGAAACTTGACTTCAGATTCGAGTGATTTATTATGTTATAATCGTATTTAATTTGACACCCTTGAAGTGTATACTGCTTTTGTCTGGAAATCAATTTTCCCTCGACTATTTTCATCATCTGACGTCGAGACAGAATGCGAAATTCCACCCGTATCACCTCGACGTCCGCCGTTCCACAACTGAGCGTTTTTCAAGGCAGTTTTTGCCGCGCACCACCACTATGTGGAATCAGCTGCCCACTGAAGTATTTCCGAACCAATTCGACTTAGGGTCCTTCAAGAAAAGAGCGTACCAATTCTTAAAAGGTCGGCAACGCACTCGCGAGCCCTCTGGCATTGAGAGTGTCCATGGGCGGCGGTATCACTTAACATCAGGTGAGCCTCCTGCCCGTTTGCCCCCGTTCTATTAAAAAAAAAAGACTATTAGTATATAGTCGTTCTGAAGAGTTTTACCAATGTTTCAGGTAGTAGAAGGTGAAATAGAAGATGGACCGTCACCGGTGGCTGTCAAGATACTAAATCAAAATGCGAGTCTAGAAGACAAGGCTCGTTTTCTAGATGAGGGTAGAATGTATCGAGATATCCGTCATGAAAACATATTACCGTTTATTGCCAAATGCCTCTCTGAGGATCCTTGGTTGCTTATGTTCGAGCTGTGCTCTATGGTGAGTTTAGATTAATTTCTTTGAAAAGGGATATTCTAGTATCAAAAAGGGGATTAAAATTCGTATTATTTAGTATAGGTTAAAATGAACACTAAGTATTTTTGCACTTCTTGTTTACTTTATCTAATTTCTTTTCTCACATTGGTTGCCTGGAAGAGATCGCTCGAAAGCGATAAGGCCGCCAGTTGCCCTCCTTTTCATTTAATTATGTCAATTGTTTTATATGTCTGATTGCAACCAAGTATTAATAAATATCATATATAAGCTTGAAGAATTTCATACATTTTAGTGTATTGAGAACAATTAAGCATTACATTGCATTAAAAAAACTAATTCAAAACATTAATTAAAAAAATATGTGGCTGAAGGGCTACATCACAGTACAAATATTAATTTCGTAAAGAGTTAAAAAAATACTATATTTTTCTACCATAATATACATTATATGTTCTAGTACAAATCTTTCTATTCACAACTACTGTTACTGCATATGTTACTAAAGAGGACTCAAATTAATGTGAATATTTAAAATTATAATAATTGTAGGTCAGATTTTAATACATACTTTTTTAATTGTAATATTAATATTTCCTATTGTGTTTTTAATTTTATAAATAATATTTTTGATTGTCTTCTAAATTGTTAGCATGCAGCATGCATATTCTTAATATGTTTTTCGAGTTCGTACTTTATATAATTATGTGTAAATGTAAATAAATAATTTTTTTTCTAGGACCTGCATCAATACTTAGAAGTGAACCGTCCAAAAATGGCGATACTAAACGAAAGTGGGGTGCCTCTACAGCTGATGTGTGATGTCACTTCCGGCTTAGCTCATTTGCACTCTAGGGGATTTTTATATGGGTAAATGAATTCTCATTTCCTTAGTAATAACTTGCCTTAAATTATATATAAGCAAGGAACATTGAAAACTGATTATTGTTAATATACAAATACTAGCTGATCCGGCAAACCTTGTTTTGCCATGTATATTTTAGTTCAATAGAAATAACTATCTACAATAATAAAAAGTAGGGGTTGATTGTAGAGTGGTGCAAAATAAGGGGTTGTATGTTGTATCATAAAAAAATAAAAACAAAAAAAATTGTCTAAAAAATATTTTTTTTTTGCGGGACACCCCTTATTATTTAGGGGGTTGAAAGATAGTTAGTAGCGGATTCTCAAACTTACTGAATAAGCACAAAAAAAATCATAAGAATCAGTCAAGCCGTTTCGGAGGAGTATGGGAACGAACATTGTGACACGAGAATTTTATATATTAGATAGTTTCATTAACTTTATATATATGTATTTAACTGACTTTTTCGTATATGTGAATAAAAATATAAAGATTGTTTTAAAATTTTAGAACACTGTGGAGCGGTACAGTACTAATTCGTAATGGAGAAACAGCACGTGCGCTTCTTGGCCAGTATGGAACTAATGAGCCGCAGCACGATTTCTTCGCGCCCGAAGTCTCGAGGCAGCCCGATTCACACACTGTAAGTTTTCAATAAATCTAATAAAAGCTATTTAAAAACAATTTGAATACAATTAGAAATAATAATGCTTATGAAATTAAATACATGTTCGGCAGTCTCAATAGATCATCATACCCAAATGTTACGATTCCAAAAATATCGCATATACAGATGAAACTGTTTGAAGTTAATATAAACATAATCAAATAAGATTTTATTTCCATTTGAAAATCTTGATATGCGCCGTATATGCTTCTTTTCATTGTGATACGAAACTCGCTGAACTAGCTCAGCTCCCCGCTCGCAAAAGGACGCACAACCTCGCTGGATGGACCTCGTTGTCAGTGGAAGGCGAAATAAATTATTTTAAAAACTCTTTCTTAGTGGAAGGCGAAATAAATTATCATTTCAAACTCCGTTCTGCCGGTCAACTATTTCTCGCTCAACACTTACGTAGTGGAAGGCGGGCATAAGTCTCGGCTTTGAACAATGAGAATCACAAGACCCGCGTTCGTGCATTCGAACGAAGTACCTACAATTATAAAATTTCAAAATTAATAGCTTAAATCTATATATAATACAATAATCATGTTTTTTCTGAAACTGCTCATGGATGAGAATAACTTTTTTTGAATTGTCATTTTAAATTATTTGCCTTTTTTTCTTACATTGTATATTACTTAAATTTACGCACTCGAGAGTTACTATTATGTAATGTTCTATGCAAGTTGAATAAAGGAATGTTTAATAAAATTTTAAGCAAATGCAAGAATTACAATAAATCATAAAAAACAAGTGTTTTTTTATATTAAATCCGGTTTTTTATGATTGAACTGTATATTTCAGACGAGTAGTGAGGTGTGGTCCGTGGGCTTCCTCCTCTGGGAGGTGTGTGCTTGGGGGGCCACCCCACCCCGCTCCCCGCCGCCCCCACACTTGCCTTGCCCCTATAGAAACCATTTGTAAGTACATTATATATAAGCTTTCTTAATATTTTTTAACTTTAAATTTGTTAGGTCAAGTTATCCAGATATCGAGTTTTATTTTCGGTCTGAGGGCATTTTAAAATCATTGTTTTTGTCAGTTGCATGCTAAGGCCCCTTTTAGTGCCTTCAACGATCTCTCGGAACTATAGAGACTGGAACGATATTAGGTCCATTAGAACAAGTTTTTTTCAATACTTAAGAATTAAAATTCTTTTGATGAAAGTAGCTAATACTAAGTATGAATGTAATACATATGTAACATATGGTTTTGTAAACGTTTAATCCTAAAAAAAGATTTATTGTCGCTGTAGAATGATAACCTCGTATGTCCAGAGAACCAAACATTACAGGAAACGAAAAAAATGTTTCATTTCTTCAATGTTCGTTAAAATATTTTCATGTTTTTGTCCATAGTTTTAGATGGTAAAATTTATGTTTTTAATAAATAAGTCCTTACTACATGATTTTACTAGTTAAATGACATAAGAATAAAAATTAAATGGTTTTTTGACATACGTTATAATTCTACATCGACGATATGCGTATTCTTATCCATCTGATGCTTAAAATACTTATATTCATAGATACCAAGTAATGCAGCTCTGCTGGAATCCGAATCCTGAAAATCGTCCAACGGCATCACAAGTGCACGCGTTACTCAATCATCTGCACACCACACACTTACACACCGAAACAGACGACCATTTTGAGGAACGCTGGCAGAGACTCAAACCCAACACTATCCCAAAAATAGACGAACACATAGCCATAGTCCACGCCCCGTCCACGTCCACAGATTCACAGTTCGGATCTGATCTAGAATTTGAAAGCGCACAAATCATACCAGACTCCCTGAGCGTAGGAGACACGGCGGTATCCCGATCCAGCAGCATAATGTCCGACAAGGAACCTCTTTCTGTCCAAATAAAGTCAGAAAGCCTTAACAATCTACATGGATCCTTCGAGGATGTTCGAAACATTTACCTCACGCACAATGAAGCGGCGGCCCTCGAATGCCACCAAGGGAACATCAGTATGGAAGAGAAGGAACAGGATCGCTCCGACAGCTCGGTCGATCCTTGGCTCAAAGACATCATAACCGGAAGCCAAGATGACGTGAGCTACTTCAAAGACGTCAGCGATGTTATTAAGAATCTTGATAATATATTGAATTCCGAGAAAACTTCCAGTTCCGAATCGAGCCACCAAGCCAGTCCTTCGAGGGACAACCTCAGTCTAGAATGCAAAAAGGACTATCCTATGCAGACGAGCCTCGTCAAGTCTCCCGGAATACGGAACTTCCAAAATATATCAGAAATGGGTTTCGATTCCAAGGATGATTCCACCTGCGAAGATGATGTCGACCGGGACGCAATCGGAACTTTGAGTCACTCCTTCGAACGCCACAGCGACACAAATAGCCAATATACACTCGAAAATATAACACCCGAAACGCCGATAAAAGACTTCATAAGTAACGTTAATGAATCCTTTAGCGAACAAAACTTTAGCATAGTTAACGAAAATACAACTATGCCTCGAGAAGAAGAATTGCCAAACGATAACATAGAAGATTGTGATAAAGAAGTACCCAAATTGAAGGAATTATGTGAAGCCTTGCCTAGATTAAGTAATAAAATGGAAATGATAAAAGACTGCACATCGGAAGATAATAATGCTTTAGGGACTGATATTATTAAAGATACTAAGTCAGTAGAATTAATACCAAATGAAGGAATTGATAAGAGAGAAAAGATTTGTGATACTGGAATAGACCAAACGCATGATACAACAGAATCTCAAGTACCATTTCCTGAGAGTGAGATTAATCATATAAACAAAGATCCACTAGTCAATGAAATAGCTACAACATTAAGTGATATCGAGCAATCAGATGCAAGTGATAGGGAAGATAATAAAGATCATTCTGAATCGTTGGTCCAATCTTTAGCAGCAAGCCAAACTATAAATGAAGTTAAAGGAATAACTACTAATGATAAAGACGTTCACGAAATAGGGACCAACGATAATGCTTTGGAACCAAGTGATCTAAATAGTGTAGTTGGTGATCAGCAAGTGGAACAAAGTTGTATTACACACACGGAATTGTTTTTAGCAAATGAAATAGAAGCACAAAAAGGTCAATACTGTGAAAGTGGAAAGCAAGTTCTTAGTAATGATATGCGTGACGCAGAAAAGCAAATCTCGTATGAAAATGAAGATCTAACGCAACCGGAATTGCTACAGATGACACCCGTTACAGATGTACATTTAGATGAAATTGTTAATGAGCTACAATACAATGAAGATATCAGTATCGATTTGGAAACTGGGTGTGCATCGTTAGGAAATGTTATTAATTTAGGAAGTAGTCATGCTACTTTAGATAATGAAAAGTTGAAGGATTTGAACGCTAAGGAATCTCATATAGAAAGTGACTTAGATATAGAAACTGAACTAGAAAACGTAGGAATATTAGCAGAGCTACCTGATTTAGTACAAATAAGTGAAAGGGCAACCGATGTCATAAGTAATACTCAAGAATCTCAAACGGAATCTCAGTATTCACCTGAAAAAGTACAAAACATAAGCAAGGAAAACATTTCGTCCGATTCTCAAGACGATACCATCTGTCTGGATCAAATTACAGTTAAATATATGGATTTGGTCGGATCGAAACAAGACAAAGAAAGTGCGTCGGATATGTCCACCGATAGCACAGTCTACATGAACTTTTCTGGAGAACCAAACGAAATTTCGAAAATGTATAAAAACGAACCGTTATCGTTCTTCGAAAACCAAACGGTCTTCGAAGCTGATATCGACAAGAATGATTCCACTGTTTATTTAGATCTCCCTAGCGTCATTAGAGAGATGGACGCCTTCTTGCACGCAGAAAAGTTAATAAGTGGTGGTCATGTAGTGTTCAAAGATAATTTTCATGCTAGTACCCCTGTAGGCAGCAATAGCTCCGCAGATAACGTCCTCGATTCCAATGAGCATGTCACACAAGGGGATCCAAATAAAGTACCAGACTATTCTGCGATGGCCTTGGAGAAACTGGAACAAAAAGGTGTTGCGGACACCAGTCCCTTCGAATCGCCGACGAAAAGCCACCCTACAGATACGTACGACGAGAACAGTTCAGTCGTCTTGGGACCCTTTGAAAGCTATACACAAGAGACGTTCAAAAGTAAAGTTGGGACGGATCTAGTAGACTTACCTAAAGAAGAACTCTTAGCTTTTTCGTCGAACTTTAGCGAAATTAATCTAGAAACGCCATCGCCGTTACGCGATGGGAACTTTTTAAACGAAGTGCCGGATTTAATTCACGACGACTTCGACGACAGTACGAGTCAACCAAAACCTGTAGTTTTGTCGGATCCCCACACTGATACGGACGAAACTGAGGAGCAATCGACAACTGAGAAGAGGATATCTCCATCGACCCCACCCAATTCGCCTGGTAACTTTCTAGCATCGACATCGCAGGCGTACATAGTTGATATCGACCTCGACAACGAACCCGTACAGCACATTGATATTAACGAAATGGACGTTTCTCAGCTGGCAATGGCAGAAAACGAAAATAATATGAACTTAGAATATTCCGGACCGTTGGTGGAGGAAACCTTGAACGATTCGATAACAAGATTTAATGATACGTTGCCGGAATCGTTTTTGGCGGGAAATGGCGGAGTTGAGGAAACGGAGAATGTGGGGATAGATGAAGAACGAATGAAGGAGCTTAGGAATGAATTAGAATTGAAACTGCCGTTGGCCCAGGTGAGCTTAGTTCTCCATACCTTGTGTCAATTATAAAATTAATGTTAACTGCTCTTAATAACAGTGGTTGAGATATTCAATGACTAAAATATCTTCTTTTTTTGTTACTTTAGGTAGCAGGCATTGAACCCGCCAGTTCGTGGACTGAATTGCCTCCTCCGCCTGAGTTGTTAGTGACGTATGGAGCTCTAAGTCCAATTGCTGAAGAAACGGGACACCAGCTCATCGCTTATGAAAATGATGATAATTGTAAATATAATATACTTAATATGTAAAATTCCTAGAAAATAGGTTTAAAGATAGGAGTCACCTAAAATTCCAGTGTTCCATTTTGCTGGAAAAAAAATGGTGGTGTAGTGTCTGAAAGTTGTTGTTCTATATTCATTGTTCTAGTCTAGACGTTTTAGCATTTCATCAAAATTATTATATTTGGTTTAGGCATGATGACGCTCTCAAGGCGAACCAACCAAACTCAAGTATTAAAAATTCCAAATAAATAAAAAACATTTATTTTGTCCTGGCTGTAGGTCCTAAATATGATACTGTTTACCAATTTTTGTAATGATTTTATCCTCGCAGGGAACATCTCAGTGCGCACAGAATCGTCCGAAAGTTATCCAGAACCAGCCAACAATTCCACAGACGAAGTGACAGAGTTACCAACGGGACTGGCAAGTGCCACTCATCAATCACAAAATTCAACATACACCATACACTCTAATGCCACATACACTTTGCAACGAGATGGAAGCAAGGAGTAAGTAATTGTTTCAGTAAATCTTTATATTTTTAATAATAATTAAAGCCATAATTTATCTAATTTTAATTATCTTTACAGAATCACCATGAGCGCCGACAGTTTAAACGGAAGTCCATTAAAGAAAGTTCCCGAAGAAACTGCTTCTCCGGACGCCGACAAGACCTATACTATATGCGACGCGGAAAAAGAATCGAGCTGTGAAAGAATATCTCAAGTGTCCCCGTTTCTTCTAAGTCCGACAACTGACACGTCCGCTCCCTCGGATTTGCACGCAGCCGTGTCCACTCTGTCGAAGGCGACAGTCCCCACAGATGCCAAATCATCAAAACCATCCGAAACCCAGTGCTTGTCGAAGGCGACAAGCATCGACTCGTGGTGTTCGAACGACACACTTTATAACGTCGAGGAGAACTTCGACGACTTGGCGATGGATCCCGATCTACCTCTCGATTTTGCTGAACCGGATAGAGATAAGAGCGAAAGCGAGGACACGCTCACTCACAACGAAGACGATAAAGAGCTCAGCCACTGCTCCACATACATCGTCCACGATAGCAGGTCTGAACTCTGCGAGACCTTCTCTCCGGATTCCATCACCGCTAACGATAATAACACCTACACCAAAGTCAAGACGACGCCATCCGCTAACACAAAATCGGATCTCAACGATTCGACCAAAAATACTCAAACGAAAGATTTAGCTTACGGCACGCTCGGATCCGGAATGCCTTCGTTTTCGAACTGTACCACCGAACTCGCTTCTGCCTTCGACGATACGTGGAAGTTACCCCAGCCGGAATTAGTGAGGAGATCTCCGATGGGCGATATGATGAACGTCACTCCGGTGACTAAAGCTGAGGATAAAATTTACGCGTTCGATTCTCCGGAAGTAGTCACTATTCCGAAACTAAATAAAATGGAAAGTCTAGAAATAACTTTCGAGGATCAAGATAAAGATGTCAATTATCCTGTACTTAACGATTATTCAAATATTAATTTCAAAGATGTCATAAATACCATGACTAGCACTCCGGTGACCGAGGCCGATGATAATATGGGAGAAGTTGTTGCGTGTACCTTAACGAAAGTAAAGGATGGAGACGCTGAAATAAGTGCTATAACTTCATCTTTTTTAAATGAATTGTCACCGATTAACGTTAAAGAGGAAGGCGTTAATCGTATGAGCGATAGTGTTTTGAATACAAATAGAATAAGTGATGATAAAAGTGGAATAAGTGATAGTGTATCTAAGTTCGAAACCTTTATGCGTTCAGCAGAAGTACGGCCCCAAGAAATATTAAATAATACTAATGTGGTTGAATATTTAGAAACGTCTAAAATAACTTGTAATAATTCTGAATTCCCCGAAACGAGTGAAGTTAGTTCGAAAAATTTTGATATATTTGTGCAGTCAGCTGAAATTAGACCACAACATTCAAATACTAGTGATAGCAATGGAATCAGTCACAAAGAAGAAATTTTGAATTGTTACACTAATGATGACAGTTCAAAAATTACAGATTCTTTTATGATGTCGGTGGAAATGCGGCCGCAAGATTTAACGAACGCTTACAAAATAGCCAATAAGGAAACAAATAATATCGTCAACGCTACGGACGACGATAGTAGTTTAAAATCATTTCAATCATTCCTAGATTCAGCAGAAACAAAGCCACAAGAGAGATCGTATAGTAAAAGCGAAGATCAGCCAGTAACTTCAAGCAATTCTATCCCGTTTAAAGTTTCAGAAACAAAAGCAGACGATTCTGAAACAAGCCTTAGTCTGATAAACTTTCAATCGTTCATCCAATCTGCGGAAATAAGGCCACAAGATATCTCTAAAACTAGTACCGAACGTGTAAGCTCTAACGGTGAAAATTCTGATGGAGACAACCATCTTAGTCAAAACAGCAACGATAGTTTGGCTGTATCGAAAAAAACTATCTCTTATTCTGATTTTGAAAATTCCGCCTCCTCAAAACCACAGGATATGCAATCTTTGGATAAGTCTCGAAGTGACGAAAGCGGCGTCGGATCAGAGGGGTTTCGGAACTTCGAGGCATTCGCTAGAAATCGTCCACAAGACTTACTGTCCCTAATCGATGCTAGTTCAATGCTACTGAGCAGTGAGAGGACGACGAGTGAGCACGCGATAAATAGCTTTATGAATAGAGACATTACACCTTCAACGAGTAAACTTGGCCAAGGACAGTCGGTCATTATAAATCCGACGTTCGCAAGTTTTAGGGATTCGCCTGACCGCGATAATCATGATGGTTTTGTGACTGATTTGGATTTAGATGAAAATGAACAGCCACATTCAATTATAATCACTGAAAGCCCGCTTTTAGCTAAGATTAATAAAGGTCAGACTTTGGATGGGCTCGGAGAAGATTTAAGTGGATCTAAAGCAGATGAAGACATAGATGTGAATTTGTCGAGAAATATTCTTGAGAAAAGTTTTATAAAAGACTCTGAAGAGGAAGTATCTGAGGAAACCAAATGTAACGGGAGCAACCAAGTATTCGCAACCGTAAATTTTATAAACGAAACTTTTGAAGAACTTCTAGAGAGTAATGTGGATGACAATGAAGCCAACGAAACGAAAGGGACCAAAAATGAAACAAACCATGTTTCAGAATCCAAAAGTCCAACGAAAGATGTTTCTGAACATACGAAAATCCAAAGTGATAGTGAAGAAAAAGTGGCGGTCACTCAGGATTTTTTGCAAAATGAAAAGAATTTTTGTCAGCTTGATGCGTACTTTCCACTCCTAAGTGATATCAGATTCACAGGTAAATTGTTTTCGTAGTTATTATCATAGTTAAAATGTATTTTTTAACTTAACTAATTTTTTTTATAGTTTGCTTGCCTTTGCCTCCGTAATATTATCTAATATATAAAATTCTCGTGCAATTTTGTGTGCATATTGGGTATGTCTGAGAATCGGACAACATCTATTTTTCATCCCCCAAAATGTTAAGGGTAGTAGTACCACCCCTAAATTATTATAGACAATTTTTTTGTTTTTATGATACAGCATACAAAAATAGTGGTAGGGGAGCCCACGATGCTAAATGGGGATTTACTCGAGCGTCGTAGAGACCTATTGGGATGCAAAGCTTAGATAATAAGAAGAAAAAAATGTTATATGATAAATTCCTTTTCATCGGTGGGGGAAGCGGCTATAGATAGTTAAATATGTAAAAAAAACTGTTGCATGGACATCCTCGAGCGCGTCAGATATTGATAGCATCTATGCCCTACGTATTTTTAATAATGTACGTATGTTATTCTGATAGTTTGCATGATGCGGGTGGTTGTATTTAAGGGTTGAAAATGAAAAAAAAAAAAAAATTATCGAGCGCGTCAGATTTTCTAAGGGAGTGTTAAGTGCACCAAAAAAAAGCTCTCATTCACTAATCTGACGATTTCGATGGGACGCAAGCCCACAGCCATTTTCATGATTTGCAAAAAAAATCGCAATTTTGAAATACTCAAGCGCGTCAGATTAAGATATATGTGGTTCATCTTTATGTTCTAAACGTACTGTCTCATAATCTGACGATTATCTAGAGGGATTCGCCTGATCTGACAAAAAAAAATAGAAAAACGGTTCACCTAAAGGGCCATCCCTGCAACTTCCCGCTAATTCCATTCCTGGGCGCTTAAAATTGATATTTTGAGCTCGCTGAGTTCAAAGAAATAACATTTCTATGCATTTGAGCTCTCCCAGCTCGAAAGTCTGATAGAAGTTTTATAGAACACTATTTTTGGAATTTTCAAACCGCAATAACTTTTGAATGGATCAAGCAATTTTCACGCGGTTGGCGGCATTCGACGCAGTGTTATCATCATCATAAGTAATTTTGCAATTGTAATTGATCGAACCACAAATTTCGGAGTAATCCCGAAAAAACACTTTTTCGGGTTTCTTTCGTTCACGATATCTCTCGAACCGCTTTTGACCAGCTTGGTGGCGATCGACGTGGTTTTTCAAGCTCAAAGGCGGATTAGTTTTTGAAGTTGATCTATAAAGAAACCACTTAAAAAAAATATTTCATATTTTTTTAAGATTTTTCAAAATTTCTCAAAATCTATCGGTCCGAATCGGTTCAAATTCACAGGAAATGTAATGTTTAGGGAAATATTTAGAACACCGTTAAGTAGATTCCGATCGGTTTAAGGAAATGTAGGCATCACGCAGCTGCACGCATTTAACTTTATCGACGAATTTTTGTTATTTCGGCTTGCGGAAATCGTCAGATTATATATTTTTCATTATTCTTGAATTATTTCCTTCAAAATAAAATAAAAATTAGCTACGCTCGAGAATGTCGAGATGACGTTTTTTTTTTACAACTTTGTTGCCCTCCCCTTTTTTTCCGTCACTCTCAAATTGTCAGATTAGTGGAATATACACTTTTTAGGATGTAATTAACTCACCCTACCTTAATCTGACGCGCTCGGGAATTTCTGATGGTCAATTTTTTTTTACTAATCTGATCCTGTCTCCTTCACAGGCGGCCTTATATATGGACCTCATGTTTTGTGGAGGTACTTAACCGAGTACAAGCTATCCCCTGTATATTAATCTGCCGCGCTTTAGTAAATCCCAAAATCCCCTCTTGGGCTCCCCTACCATAGATACAACCCCTAATTTTCACCCCTCTACTACCAACCCCTATTTTTTATTATAAATGATTTACATGGCAAAACGACGTTTGCCAGGTCAACTAGTATTTTTATATATTTGAACTGGTACAAGATTATATATTTTGTTTATCTATTAAGAATTGTTGTACTCATTTTAAACACTGGTTAATAATTTTCTATAACATTTAAGACTTGCTAGATTATCTACACACTATTATTATTTTGTTTCTTAACTTAGTTTCATACATTAAGATTTATTTTAATATAATATAAAAAACAGAACTATGATTCTATAAAAAAATATTGTGTAAATTGTAATTGAAAATTTCTCAATAATTTCAGGACCTGGAACAGAAATAATGAGTACCTCTTTCACACAAGAATCACCAACTGAACCGACATCCCCCGAGTGCGAGCGAGACAGCACTACGGACAAAGACAAACCCTCTGAGCTATTGAAAGAGTGGGATAGCGATACTGACTCACATTCTACTAATTCGTCTAGTGGGGAATTTATATGGAAGGTAAGTTTCAAGACGAATGATATTTTAAGGGTTTTATTTTGGATGCTTTTTGCATATGGCGCCTAGCGCTCTGTAATGTGTTTTGTCTTTTTGCTAGAAATAACCTCTCCCGAACTGTTTTAATAAAGATCTTGAAATAGAAACCCAAAAATTTTCAGACTGGTTTAATTACACTACATATAATCCCAAATAGTTAAGCCCTTTTTATAATGTACCGTTTTCAAATATTAGTGTTAGACAAATTTTAAATTTTTAATGTAGAAACAATGACCCCTTGACTATAAGAGATTTTAAATAACGCTCTGCATACAACTTCAGTTTTGATATGTGAACCAACATACAGTCGACCTAAACTCTGATTTTTCATTCCGTAGAATTCCGACATTTCATAAGTGTTGCTACTAAAAAAAGTTCTCCACAAATTTGACTCATTTGAGGGCAATAAAAAATAAAATGCTATGTATTTTTATATTTTACATACACAAAGGTAAATGTAAATATTTCAATATTACGATCAATATATCAAATTAACTTTAATTACAATATTATATTTTTTAGCTGGCGTCACTGCCTACTAATTCCAGGTTTAGTAAACCTTTTTAAAAACATAAGATGTTATCTTTATTTATGCGTTTTTTACTGTTTTACTGAGTGATCATTACTATCACTCGCCGTAAAACCACTTGTAATGTGGAGCACTGCACTTAATAAATTGGGCTAACAAAATAAAATGTATGTATTGACTCTGATGTTCAGACTCGTATTGAAATTGAAAAATGTGCCCAGCTCAAAATGTTTGTAATCTCCAACATGTCAAAAAATGATAGCCGTCAAAATTCTACGGAATTAAAAATCAGACTATAATTTAAATTTGTTTAAATTATTGCTTAAAACAATTTTGATTAAACGATTGCTTAAGAATTTGCTTAGCATCTATAAAATTATAAATTTTGAGTAATTTATCATACTTTCGTTTCACCTACAAGTTGAGGTTAAAATGTCAATTAATAACAAAAGACTAAGTTTATGCGCGTATAATAAAGCGTATGCGCCAAATTAAATTATAATTGCTTGCTAAATATTTGGTGACGGTACATATTTGGTGTCGGTGTGCTTGCATGTGTCGTGTGATTAGGACGGAGACGGACACGAGACAGCCCTTGTGCCGAACACGCATTTCCAACACGTGAGTGTCACCTTTTTATCGGCGATCAATTTATTTGGGACACGAATATTTTGAACTTTCGAGAATGAACGAGATAAAAATCTCAATTCTCTTAAGCTAAATATGAAGTCGCTAGTAATTTCTACTATCGATATAAAATATTTTTTTTATGTTCTTATTCTATAAGGTTTTCTGAAAGAACAGGATACAAGAAGTTCTCAGATAAATTGTTCGCTGTTATTACAAAGCATCATTCTAATATTAGTTATTCGTGACAATAAAAAACTAAACTATACTGTAACTAGTGAGTTAGACCACAGGTCCATACAGCTGTATACAATGCAAAATCGTTGGTAACAGGATGTATATTAGAGATGAAACAGGTATTCGGTAACTATCCGGCTGGTAACTATGCGAACAGCCTTGCGGTTCTGTAACTCACTTTTCGAACTCACACAGCGGTTTTCACTGCGGCGGTCGCGCTCAAATCAGCGGTAAAGCAGTCATAATACAATTTGGCATTCTGATTAACAATAAACTACAAGCTCCCTCCTTATCAGAATGCAAAATCATAAAATGACTGCTTTACCGCTGATTTGAGCGCGACCGCCGCTGTGAAAACCGCTGTGTGAGTTCGAAAAGTGAGTTACAGAATCGCAAGGCTGGTAGTAAATGTAAATTTAGAATCAATTTAACATGTTTTCTGTTGACGTTCATAAGTGTACTTGGTTACCTATATGAATAAAATTATTTTGAGTTTGAATAAATACCAATTTCACCATTTGGCAACAGACGGCTTGTCTTCGTATACAAGGCCAGATTCCGAAAAAAGTATTTCGTTATATACACTGCTGCAGGGCGCTAATAGGTAAACAATACCTAATAAAATGTTTAAATAAAATGTTTTGGTATTGAAAAGTAAAGTTCGGGTATTGTACAGTATTAGCTGACCATCACTGGACTATGTTCGGCCGGATATTCGGTATTCGGTGTCCGGCAACTATCCGTTTCACCTCTAATTTATATTAGTCAAATATTTTGTGCCACGCATTACGATGGGGAGAAATAATGTATGCGAAACGCCAACGCCAGCATCGCCTACCAGCGTTGACTCGCAAGATTATACGTCATATGACGTCTGTTTGACCAATCACAATCCAGTGATTTCGTTTTTCCTCTTAAATTCTTTCTCCCTGGGTAAAATATAAAATCGTGTAGATACTTGTACATGTACTGCTCTTCATGTTCCTTACTTAGTCGTTAGCTTTGTGCATGCTCACTTTTGTATATATTTTATGTTATAAAAATATATGTTGCCTTTCAGACAATCGTCGTCATTCTCATATTTAAAAAAAACATTTAATTGCAAGGATTTTTAACAGCGTTCATAAAATAACAGTCGTTTCATCAACTTCTCATCTATCTTTGGCTGCAATATCTCATTTGTGCTAATCATCACTTCTCATAGAGTCAAGGGTAAAACTCCGAGAGAAAATCTTTGATTTCTGCCCATAGCATATGTCACAATTTACTTGGAACAAACTATTAAAACTTCGTATTTTATAACAGCAACGCGATAACAGTCAGCCAAGCCGAGCTGAGGTAGAATCTGCTCATGAGGCGTCGTCTGTTGGATCTGGGGATTCCGGTTCAGGGTCGGAAGGTGATGAGGTGGAATTTGTGCCGTCTTCGTGGGACTGCCGCGCGGCGCCAGCTAAATCTTCCCTTAGGAGTCTAGAACAACCAGCGGTGAGTCAAAAACTATTTAATACTCCACTCGATAAGTTTATGTAGATTTCATGCTTTGCTTTCGTCATGTCGCCAAAAAATTTTGTTTTCTCGTGCCTTTGCAAGCTTATTAAAATTATCATAATTTAAAAAAGACTGCTCCAAACATTGGCTGTATACCTATTCAGTTTACATTGATAATTTATAAATATGTTATAAGCTTAAATAATTATAATGTTTGTATAATATGTATTAACATACAAAGGACCAAATTTGTTTGTTTGTGCGGAAACTAAGTCTGTCTTACTTTAAATGCTTGTATTAGTTAGGTAAACATGGTTTGGCGTGATGATAAACTACCTTATTCACTCATTCTCGTGAAAAAACAAGTGACAAAACATAATCTAACTGAGAATTAATGATGTATATATAGTACTAAGAACAAGCCTGTCTCAGCCATGCAAGGACGGAAGATTTTTTAAATACTTTCGAAACAAATATTTTAAAAATAATAAACTAAATAGCTGGTAATGTAGCATTCTAAAGATTTTTGGAATTGGGAATTTTATTAACATACAAAACACAAATAAAGATAAATGATTGATTGGTGATATACAATTGCAGGATGGTAAAAAACGCGTAGTGTTCAAGCGTCAAAAGTACCATTGCGTATACGAGTACCCGCGCGAAGCGAGCGATCTGGACGTTGACTCCCCCGCGCCCTATTTACCCGATCTCTCCACTTATTGCGGTATGTATGGCTCTATAGAAATAACCTCCTTCCACTTCGATTCGTCGACGACCAGTCACTTTCCCCTTGGCGTTTCGTAGAGATCTCTGCATCTTCTACCGCATTTACCACCTGATGATACCTGCATCTGAGTCATCATCATCGGACGTTGAGGCAGAATACGAAATTCCACCAGTATCACGTCGACTTCCGTCGTTTCACAATTGAGCGTTTTTAGGTCACTTTAGGCCACACACCACCAGTCTACCAATTCGACTCTTTCGACAATTCTTAAACGGCCGGCAACGCACTTGCGATCCCTCTGGCAATGTGAGTGTCTATGGGCGGCGGTATCATTTAACATCATTTGCCCCCTGTAACATAAAAAAACTAATTTTAATTTATTATCTATTTAAATGAACATATTAAATATGACTCTTATTATAATGATTATAAATTTAAGTTTTCCTGTACATCGTTACTTGAATTGCAGCTTAGTAAGCTTTTTAAATAAACGCATACAGTATATTAACTTCCAAAATATAAGAAAATATAAACTAATTAAAATAATAATTAAGAGTAATTAAAGGTTTATATTCAACAAAAGCTTTTCAATTCAAAATGCATTTTTTTCTTATTTGCTATGCGTCATAACATTTATTCACATAAATTATATACTTAATTTTTTCATCTTAAGTATTAAGCTACTGCCGAACTATAATGACGTAACAGTAACGTATAATGTTGCCAACAACAAAAAAAGTAATTTAAACTTTTCCGTAGTAATCTTGCATGTGTGATATTCTAGAATGGGACCCACGTAGCGCAGAGGAAGCGGAAGTTGGTTACGGACAGTTGTACGGAGGGCCGAGTCCCTTTGACATGTATCCTCTTAGAGCTGGAATCGCCTTTGGAGCTGGTAAGTTATCAACTAAGTTTTTGTTAACTTAATTGAGGCTTCTGAATGTAATGATTAAATCACGTGACGTAAAGTTTTATAATCTAATAACTTAAAACCACCGAAAATAGACCTTAGATACCGTCTAAAATTCGTAATATTAGCGCGTTTAATCAATTCAAAAGGGCATTAAAGATAGATATCAGAATGAGCCTAGACTAAAATTGGGACGGCTGATGGCGACGTGTATCTCGTTCGTATATACATATTAGGTTTCTCATGTAAATATTTTTTTTTTGTTATGGTAAATAAAGTTCTTTAAACTTAGTCTAAGTCTTAGATTTCTGTATTTTTTTTAATACGTTGTCTCTTCACTGAAACATCCTGGAACATTAAAATTTAGCTAAACTTATGACTCATAAGTAATATAAGTCTAACCTAATTTAATAATAAGTGTCCAAATGTACTTACAGTCTTAAGGGAAAGACTTTCTGTTCTTGTGTTATTTTTCCTCTAAGGGGCCGTTCAATTATTACTTATGCAGATTTACTGCGATTTATCCCTCCCCCCGCTCTTGTCAGAAGTAAAACTCTCAAAAATAATAGTACGTAAACGTATGAATATTTTGTAGGAATCCTCGAAAATGCATTTCGTTTTCAAGCATAGACAATGTGTGGGTAATATATGTAAAAAAGTAAATAATTACTGTTGACGTAATCACCAAATAAGAAAATCAAAGACCCCCTACCCCCTATAATGCTTACTTATTACTTGAACGGCCTCTTACCACTGTTCAGCACTTAAGACTAACGTTCACTACTAATACTACTGTACGTGGGCTCCAGTAATCTTTGTAATTATCCTGGCGATCTGTATCTTCTGATAATTTTTTTCTACATAAGTGGTTAGCCATCTGTGCCTGACATATACCGTTGACTTTTTAAGTATAAGGCATACCGGTATCCTCACGATGTTTTCCTTCATCGCACGTCCAAGAGTTAATTTCGCACATAGAAATCCATATCTGCGATTTGAACGCATTTCCTCAAGTTGAGAGGCGATTAGCTCAACGCCTAAAACATAATCTAACATTTACAGACTACGACGAAGACTTCTACATAACTTCAACAGCGCGGCCTTTTGAATTAGGGGTACTATCCACTACGAGCCAATTCTTTCCCGGGATGCATCTCAAGCAATCCCTGCTACCCGAAAACGACTTTCCCCCTCCGTCCCCCTTGCCCCCTCTCGATCCCCCCCCTCACTATCCCCAGAACATCTTTAGAACTAACAACCCCAGATTCAGGAGTAGACATCACCCCTACAATTGATGAAGATTTAAATGAATGGAAGCCAGACAGTACGAGTTCCAGTGAATCGGTTAGTCCGAGTTCACCGGGGGGAGAATTGGGTGGGTTGAGACATACGAGGGATAAGCTGAAGCTGGATTTACCCCCCAGCCCCCATCTCCCCTCGCCGAAGCACAATAGGGTGTTTAATTTTGTACTTGAAAAGCCGAAACGTCCCGAACCCTCTACTCCGTTAGGTAAGTCATACTTAATCATAGTCAAATCCTTTTGACAAACATAGTGTTAACTGAAATAATATATTAGTGTAGACTTTGTATAGAAGTGGTACAATTGCTGTTTCATATAGATACATATTACAGTTGAATAACTAAAAACCAATAGTCCTCTTTTGTCTCCTTTCATCATAGCGTAAACATAATGTGACAGAAAGAGACGAAAGGGTGCTGATTTAGTTTATAAGACTTTATCGTATATTTCCAGTGATGACGGACGAAACCCCCATCATGATGTCTCTCCCGTTAATCAAACGCGATGATCCAATGCCCGAACCAACTTTCTCGACATTCGGAAAGTCAACTTGCAAATCCACAGCCGATCCCAAAAACATTGTCTTAACCGACAACGAAAACGTCGAAACGGAACCCGAGTCAACGGATAATCCGGATATTAAAATAGAAGAAAAACCGGATAAAGTAGAGCCGGTTAAAGGGGAGGGAACGGTTTTGGATAGCGGCGATGAAGATTCCGGTATTGAGAGCAGCTCCAAGGCTACGTTGGAACGAAAACCGACTTCGAATATCTCATAAAAGCAATGATAAAAAGTTGTGTCTGCAAAAATTGTGGTTGTTTATAAATGTACTATAAACGCCAATTAGTTAAAATTTGTCTTGAGAAACAAAGAATATAATTCAATAGCAATTTGAGGTTTATCGTATGTTTATACAATGAAGGCGCTTATTAAAGACATGACGGGATATTTTATTAAACTAATTAAATATAAAAAGCATTTCTTGCTTTTTTACCAAATAAAATAAGTATAAAAAATCTCATGTCTAGGTAATACTTTCGGCTTGAATCAAAGATTAGGAAGTGAATTCTTAATACCTTAAGAATACTGAAAGTGCAGATCCCCAAAATTGTTTACGCCATATGTTTTTATCAGTAATTGCTATAAACCAGGTCATTAGAAGTCAATTAGCCAATTCAAAAGTAGCGTATACTGAAGATAAACATATCTAAACAACGCCCAGTGAACAGAACAATGGTACAAAATCCGTGAATTCAATTGTAGATATAATTTAATGCTTTATAGCCTACACTACGGCCTATAATCCGTTCAACGATAATCACAACGCCTAAAGCGTATACGTTTTCGTACGTATACGAATTACCATACAAACTTTTTCTTCGTTAAACTAATACACTTTTGCAACTAATATGCTCTCTTTCTGTCAATTGTGTTTACAATGTGATGGAAAGAGACAATCAGTGTTTTAGTTATATTAGTAAATCAGATTTGGTTTTTAAGAATTAGGAGGTTTGTCTATAGACCTTATTATTTTCAAATCTTTTTTAACACTTCTTTCCTTTAAGCTTATTCTTTTTACAACAAAATGAAACTTCTCATTCACCCCACAAGTGACAGCTTTGAGAGAATCTTGACATTTGTGTCAAAGGCGTTGTGATTGAACGGAGCCAAATTTTATACTCCGTCAGACTACTTGCTAGATACGTAATATAGTTTAGTTAGTGGACGATAAATTTTGCCAAATGCGCGTTTATATCCACGCACAATCTTCCATCGGTTTCGGGTGTTGTGAAGGCGCGATCCGAATTTCTCATTGACTTTGTTGTCTCATAGTTGTAGTGATTTTTAAATACAATACTCTCACGGCCATAACCGCACAAGTAAATCGCACATTCAAATGAATCTCGTAGTGTTAGGATCGGAACGCGCGCTCTCAACTTCTGAACAAAGGCCAATTGTTAGGTAAGGATATTTAAGTAGTAGTGTGAAAGGCGTACGGAGCGATCGGTGGCTAAAATCTATTGCCATACTAAATATCTCATTTTAATACTAGATTTTTTTTAGTTGGCAATACGTCGTCACCGCGTGTGCATGTGTGTGTACGCACTCGATACGTCCATTTGAACCTCTTGTGCAATCCTTCATTTTCATATCGTCGCGATTTAATTTTTGTAAATATTATTTTAAATGATTTTTAAGTATTGAAATTTTATTCTACGCGGTTATTCTTTTTACGATATTTCGTTAATGTACAGATGTAAATAAGTATAGATGTTCATTTTGTTGCAATTACAATTAGGAATAATTAGTTTTGAAATTAGAGCCTAGATCTAGAACTCGTGTTTTGAGACTTGGTTTTGGAAAAAAAAACATGCCTTTGAGTAAAAAACTAATTCGTAAACGAAAACACAATAGCTGATATTCAAGAGGTAAGCGGAAATATGTAGCGGCAGCTTCAAGTGACTTATGGGGTAAAATTCAGAGTCGAAACTTAGCTCTAAGTATGAAGCATGCTCTCGCATGTCTAATACGCTTTTGACAAACCGGAGTCAAACTTGTATACTTCGTCACTTACGTGAGACACTGAGATTTGTAGATTAATAAAACCGAGTCTCATAATAAGAGTTCTAGCTTTTGACGTAGCGTAAGTTAAGATCTGTGTATTTAGATTTTTTAAATAGTTCTTTATACGATTAGAAATTTCAGCTAATTGTTGTAGATCACGTTAACATTAATGATTTTATTTGAATGAATTGTCAAAAATTACGATATTTATTGATTGAACGTTGTTATTTTTAAAATGAATGGAAGTGAATATGACCGTATCCGATGTCTTTTCATATTGTGACATGTCGAGTCTTTTAAAGTATTTATATGGAAAATAAAGTAATAATGATATAGAGAGCTTTTATTTCTATCCAAGACAAATTAAATTACAGTAAATCTGCTTACGTAATACTTGAACGGCCCCTAATACTAAACTATATAAAAGTTGGTCGACATTTCTTGATCTGAATTGTTTATTCAGTATAAGGATTTAATCTGCCACATTACTCTGTAAAAGGAATACCGATTTCAATGACTCGGTTATGGCTGGTACGAAACTGTCTCAATAAATAACCCTAATGAAGACTAAGTCTCGCCGATACCAATTCTTGTGTTTCTTTAAATTGATAGATATGGACGCAAGCTTGGAATAAAGGAATTGTCTTACTAATAAAATAAAGCTAACTAACGGATTTAAATTGTTTAAAGAACTTACTACTTCTATTTAAATAAAGTGCAACGACTACATACTAAAAAAGACTATAATTTACTGCAATAGGATTTATTCGTAAAAGCTGGAATAATTATTATTTCGTAAATCTTAACGCTTAGATATGTTACATATTATAATGTCATATGCAAATCTTAATTAAAAAACGTAGTTTTTATTACATATTTCCAATATAAACGAAGCAGTAAGGATATAAGATTAAATAATTACAGTACAATAAAATATAACCTCTTTTATTCAGAGGATTCTTTTTATTATTGACTTTCAGGTCACAAAATTAAAAAAAATATATTATTGACTTTAAAAAGTGAACCAGTGTGAATATCTTGAAATTTCAATATTTAAGTATATTACTTACGAACCATTATTTAATACTTACGAACTTCTTGACACGTATAAAATAGGGACCTAAATCATAAATTATATAATGTTTTCTATTCAGGTTACAAATGTATATCAGTATAACTTTTTTGTAGGCAAATTGCGGGTACATACTACACCGTCAACTTCTATTCCACTACACACATCTGCATTAGGTACTTTCAGTCCTTATTCATTTATTCCGTTGCAATAAAAATAAAACTATAAAACTTACAAAATCCCGATCAACAAAAGAAAAATAACATGTATACAAATCTACTACATATATTTAAAATAATCATATTTTAGTTTTGCGATAGACAAACTCTTTATATAAGTCAAAAATGGTTTAAATTAAGATATATTAATTAAATCACAGTTCAGAGGCATCACAGCGTGTATGCGGCTGTCAGCTCCGCCGCCAGATGATGACCAGTCCCGATACATCACTAGTCGCCAACAAACTTTCGTCATAACTAAAACTTACACCTAGAACTGGGTGCGCGTGACCTGCAAAAATATATTATTAATTATAGAGAATAATTAGTAGTTTAATTCCATAAAAAAGGAAATTTTTGTCATCATAAATACAAACAAACCAAACATGTATTCCACAGCGACAGAAGTATGGGATCACAAGTAAAAGCTATTGTTTCATGAGCCATAGAGAATCAGAAAAAATATACACGTCGTATCTAAAACTTCCTACCGTTTTTCCCGCCGATAAAACAAGAAAGAACAACAGTTCGTTAAAAACTAAGAAAAAGATCCGTTAAAAGAAGTGTTCAGTCATATTATGTTTGTAATTTAATATTTAGTAATAAAGTAGATTCAACGCGAAGCAGACGTTTCATTGCACTAAAATTATACTTAATAGTTCACCAGTCAAAAAGCAACCTTATCGCCGCAACATATGGTCGCAATCTCGCCGGATCTTGTGTCTACTGAGCTGCATCGAAGGAACAATAGACTACGCATTCCATTGCGATAAGGAACACGTTTAGCAACTATTTTGTGCAATTTTTAGACTTATAACCTTTGAATAATATTGAAATAGAACGTGCAAGTGACTTTAAAGTGAGGATTATGGCAAATGTGGAACAGTTATTAAGTGTACTTGAAAATAATAATGAACTATTAAAAAAGACTCAAATAAATATTAAAAAATGTGCAAAGGCTAGACTTACGAAAGGTTATCTACAAACACGGATGGAGTGTATAGAAAGTTACTGGAAGACGTATAAAAGTGCACATTTAGATTTAATAAAAATTACGCCGCGTGAACAAAAGTCAATTTTACCATATTTTTGTCAATGAGGATTATTATTTGATCGAGGATTTATATTTATGTATGGTGTCTGACATCAGGGATATGTTAGAAGGTTTTGAAATTCAAAGAGGACAACAATCCTGTAATCAGGGGAACGGCTCCACTGCAGTCGAACACAACGTACAATCACAGGTTCGACTCCCGCGCATTGAATTACCTACTTTTTCGGGTAATTATGAAGAAAGGCCTTCTTACAAAGATATTTTTGTTGCACTGGTACATGATAACACGTCACTATCTAATGTTCAGCGACTACATTATTTGAAATGCAGCATAACAGGTGAAGCAGCATCCTTATTAAAACACATCCAAATCACGGAATCGAATTACTTATCTGCTTGGGAGACTCTAAAACTTAGATATGGGAATAAACGAATGATTATTAATTCATTATTTAAACGATTATTTTCACAAAAGAAAATTATGTCACAATCGGCGTTACAATTAAAAGGAATATTAGATACAACAAATGAAGTTTTAAACAGCTTACAAAATCTTAAGGTGTCCACAGAGTCATGGGACCCTATAATTGTATTTTTAGTAGTTCAAAGGTTGGATCCAGATACTCATAAAGAATGGGAACAATTTTCGTATGATATGAGTCAAGAAGAATTATCTACCTGGTTTGAATTACAGAAGTTTTTAGAAGGAAAATTTAGAACGTTAGAATTGTTAAATCCACCTTTTAAACCAACTCTCAAGCCGTTAAGAGAACGTGTTTTCCACATGTCTATAGAGAAGACATGTATTATGTGTAAGGAAAATCATAGCTTATGTCGTTGCAAAACATTCTCAAAAATGTCACCTGCGGAAAGAAGTCACTATGCACAACACAACAAACTCTGCTTCAACTGCTTGGCTCCAGGGCATTCGGCATTTAGATGTAATTTACCTCTTTCATGTCGAATATGCAAGGCTCGTCATCATTCTCTTCTTCATCAGTCAACTAAAGCAAATGCGTCGGCATCTTTAGAACTCAAGCAACCGATGACATTACCTCAGGAAGAGGAGAAGACTCTTGCTACAATGACAGCTTTACATAATGTTACAGAACATATCAATCTATTGGCAACCGCAATTGTGGTTATTAAGGGAAACTATGGGCACACAACTGTACTTAGGGCGCTAATAGATTCGGGGTCGCAGTCATGCTTTATCACTCAAAAGGCAACTCAAGCACTAAAATTGCAACGCAAACCTGTAAATTTGGTCGTCACGGGTATGGATAATATGAAGGTAAACATCAAACAAGAAGTCAATTTTGATTTATTATCACGTTGGGAACCTAACTTTGAGCTACCAATACACGCCTACGTGATGTCACAGCCATTAAAGTTTAACATACCTTCATCAGAATATTTGCAACAGGAACTGCGTCACTTTGAGAAATTGAATCTAGCAGATCCAAATTTTATGGATTCCGGAGCATTGGATTTGCTATTAGGGGTGCAAGAGTATACAGCAATTCTTAAACAAGGATTAATCAAGGGTCCATCAGGCACAGTATGCGCACAGAAAACCAGCCTGGGATGGATTGTTATGGGTGGAATAAACATCAACATGAAACCAAAGCATAAAGCCATAATGGCAATGAATATCACAACTGATGCATGTTTTAATGATTAAAACTATTTGGGAGATAGATACAGACACAAAACGTAATTTAACTAAAGAAGAATTGAGATGTGAAGAATTTTATAAAGAAACTCATGCTAGGAATAACGAAGGAAGATATATAGTTAGATTACCCTTTAAAACTGAAGCACTATTGTCGTCTGAAGGAAATACAAAAGAAACAGCAATTAAGAGATTAATGCAGCTTGAAAGAAGATTTAGTAGAAATCCAGAACTAAAAGACGAATATCTGAAAGTAATAAACGAATATAAAACGTTAAATCATATTGAAGAAGTACCTGAAAAAGAATTACATAAAAAATCAGTTTACTTACCTCACCACGCTGTTGTCCGTCAGGACAAAGAAACTACGAAGACACGAGTTGTTTTTGATGCTTCCTGTAAGGGCTCCAACAATATCTCACTTAACGAGGAGCTTCTGTCAGGTCCAGTTTTGCAAGAAGATTTAAGAAATTTAATCATGAGATGGCATGGCTTGAGAAGGTTGATTGGGATGACGGTCTTAACATTTTTCTGAAAGAAGAATGGTTGAAGATTCGCCGAGATCTTATGAATGTGAATAACATTTCTATCGATCGATGGTTAAGTACTTCATGCTCCAACATGGATACAATTCAAATTCATGGTTATTGTGATGCTTCTATTTTAGCTTACGCCGCCGTGGTGTATTGCCTAGTCAAGAAAACGGACGGTTCATATAGAACAGCATTAATTGCAGCCAGAACCAGAGTGGCTGAAGACAATTTCGTTGCCAAAATTAGAACTTTCTGGAGCTTTGCTTTTATCCCGATTATTGAACCAAGTAGCACAGGCCATGAGAATACCGATGGAAAGAGTTTTCGCATGGACAGATTCATCTATAGTCATAGCTTGGTTGTCTGGCGAACCCACGAAATGGAAGCCATTTGTGGCCAATCGTGTAGTAGAAATTTTAGCAAATCATAAAAAAGAACAATGGCATCATGTCCAGTCACAAGAAAATCCAGCAGATATTGCATCTAGAGGTATGTTTATCTCCGATTTGAAACACTGCAACCTTTGGTGGAAAGGACCTACTTGGTTACAAAAAGGAGAAATCATCTTAACAGACGAGAACATATTTACTACAGATCTAGAAAAGAAAAAGGAAAGAATTAAAACTCTCATATTGACAAACATTAAAGAAGAAAAAAGATTTTCTGAAAAATTTGAAAGATTTACTACCTTAAATGAACTATTAAGAACCATAGCTTATTGTAAAAAGTTTATCAAGTTTAAAAAGGATAATAAAAACATAATTATCACAACAGAAGATATAGAAGAAGCATTACTAACATGTATCAAAATAGTGCAAAATGAAGAATTCGAAACTGAAATAGATTCGTTAAGGAAAAAGAACAATATTAAAAAGAACAGTAAATTGAAGACGCTAAATCCATTTTTAGATAATAATGGAGTGCTCAGGGTGGGCGGAAGATTAGCAAAATCAAGTTTAGAAACAAATACTAAACATCCTATAATCATTGGAAACAACAACACTCTTGTCTCACTTATTATCGCCGACGCTCATAAAACAACATTACATGGAGGTATTCAGCTTATGCTTTGTTATTTACGGTCTAAATATTGGGTATTGCGTGCAAAAGACATGACAAAGAAGCATATCCATCGATGTCTAATTTGCGCTAAGGAAAGTGCAAAGGTAAAAACTCAATTAATGGGTGATTTACCTTCCGTTCGTACCACACCTTCTCGACCATTTATCAATGCAGGTGTAGATTTCGCTGGTCCATTTCAAATTTTGATGAACAAAGGAAGAGGTATCAAAACAAACAAAGCCTACGCTGCGATTTTTGTCTGTATGTCTACTAAAGCAATTCACATAGAACTAGTCGGTGACATGACGTCAAATTCATTCATAGCTGCATACAGACGATTTACGTCAAGAAGAGGTAAACGCGCACATCTTTGGAGTGATCAGGGAAAAAACTTCGTAGGAGCAAACAAAGAGTTATGTAAAGCATGGGAAGAAGCAAAATTGCAATTTGACCAAGAAATCATAGACAGCTTAGCAAATGATGGCACTCAGTGGCACTTCATTCCTGCATACTCACCAAACTTCGGAGGACTCTGGGAGGCTGGAGTTAAGTCAATGAAGTATCATTTAAAACGAATTCTTAATAACAACCTTACCTTCGAAGAGATGTCCACTGTTTTATGTGAAATCGAAGCATGTCTTAACTCACGGCCACTCTGCCATATAAGCAAGCAAATGATACTCTTGATCCACTAACACCTGGACACTTTCTAATTGGTGAAGCCCCAATAGTTGTACCGCATCCAAAGTTGAACGATATCAAAATTTCACATTTAGCCCGTTGGCAATATACACAAAAGCTATTAAACGATTTTTGGTGTCGTTGGCAAAATGAATACTTGACCAATCTACAACAACGGCCAAAATGGTTAAAAAGAATAGAAGAATTTAAAATTGGTGATATCGTACTGATAAAACAACAAAATTTACCACCTGGAAAATGGATCCTTGGACGAATTACTGAAAAACATCCAGGATCAGATGGCGTAACTCGAGTTTATAGTGTTAAAAACGGAAATAATATTGTAAAACGATCTGTATCTTATCTTTGCTATCTCCCAATTAATGAAGGTTAAATGCCTAATTGTTAAAGTATATATTAAGGGTTTGCATGTAATCTTTTGAAAGGACATTAAAGGTCCTTTGGTGGGCGGATATGTTCAGTCATATTATGTTTGTAATTTAATATTTAGTAATAAAGTAGATTCAACGCGAAGCAGACGTTTCATTGCACTAAAATTATACTTAATAGTTCACCAGTCAAAAAGCAACCTTATCGCCGCAACAAGAAGGAAGAACAAAACTTCGTAAAAAAAATTGAATAAACAAAAAAACATATCTACTGGAGCTAAAAAAAGGCATAGAATAAAACACAATAGCTCAAATAACAACGAATTTATATCAACAATGTGGAATATGGGTTTTAAAAACTTTAAATTACCTTGCAATTTATTAACAACTGGCTGTTCGGCGTGTCCTTCGATGTCAAGGAAATAGACACAGGCGTCCTCCGCCCCCGAAACGACGCAAACTCCGCGACGGAATGACATTATTGGGCAGAAAGTTGATTGTACGCCATGAGAACGGTGCGCTATATCGAATCGCTTCTTTAGCGACAGACTGCCTTCGCGATCTGATATCCTAGTACAATAACGACATGTTATTTACGGTTTTAGGCCGTCAACACACTCGCGAGCACTCTGGCATTGCGAATGTCTATAGGCGGCGGTATCACTTAACATCAGGTGAGCATCCTGCCCTGCCTGTACTACCAAATTTTTTCATTATTCAAATTTAGGAATTACTCGAACTTGACTTTTTTAACAAATTTAAGCGCAATTTAATCTTGAAAAAAATTGATTTAATGTTCAAAAACTCTTCATTCTTGTAAAATTGTATTACTTGATACTTCCCAACCAATAACTTTATATAGAAATAGAAATTAAATAACTTTCAAATTAAAACTTTTGTGTATAAACGGAAATACGGGAGCCATAAAATGTGTCTTTTAATCTGTTACATTAAAAGTCAGTTAAAAAATTTGATCTAAGTACCTAAACAATAGTAGCGAATCATCAGCTGCGCTGACCAATAAGGCGGGGTGTCTGGCAAGCCAAGGGCTCCAGCTTAAGCAAGAGACGGCGCCTCCGACGCAGCATCGACGCAATTTGCTCAAAGACCCACCAGCACCCGACATCAGATAGCTAACTATCACACCCTATATAAAAACGATATTAAACTCGAAAAATTTATTATAAAAAAAAACATTATTTGTATGAAAAATAATTATTTAATATTTATGTATTACAGTCGATTCTTGATAATTTTAAACTCAAATTACCAAGAGTTCAAAATAACAAGCGTTTAAATAACCATGAGGAGGAGGGGGACTCAACTAAATAAGAGATTGATAAAAATTCGTGATTTCTATTTTATTATTATGTATTAACAATTAAATACAATACATTTTACAGGTGCATGATAAATAATTCAAATTATAAAGAGCCTGGACATCAAATTATCGCATGATGGTGAGCAAGATACCAAAAGACTATATAATGTATACCTTATCATTTGCTGCCCAAAACATCCTTCCACTAGACTCACACGCAATTGATGTCACTCGACCACCCAAAATACTGCTGCCTCCTGCACATCATAAACAGGACATTTTGAAAAAAAAAAAACACTTTTATGGTCTGGCCTTAGATACCTGTACCTGACACATGTGCGCACTGCGCACATAGACAGTAAGTCCATTGGTGCACCGCTGGGTATCGACCTACGACCTCAGGGAAGAGAGTCGCACACTGAAGCGACTACAACACTGCTCTATTTCAAAATATAGTTTCAAAACATTCCGAAGTTTTCATTAATAATTCTACGTATTTATAACATTTCAACTGTCAGTGCATTCTTTCTAGATTCATAATACTAATCAATTATTTATATGGAAAATAATACTTCTGCATTATTAGTCTTTATTTTAAATATAGTATGAAATTTCTCCCAGAGACCACATGTTTAAGTGCAGAGAAATAAAGTAATTAACAAACAGTGTTAATAATTAAAACAAAAATATTATTTACCTCGAGGATATATTCCAGTGGACACATTAAGAACTTCTACCATCCCTCGGGCGTTGCCTGCCTGTGGCTTCTTTTAAGGAAACTTATTTCTTTCATTCAATTTAAAAAAAAAAAATTCACACGGAATAATAATGATTATTTTTCCGACCCAAATATCGACCAATAGAATTGCACCATTCGACGTCACGTGGTACAACCTACATGGTATTATACTGATAATTTTTTGAAAATTTTCTCTGGTAGTTGCTTCAAGAAAAGTATTAAGTAGTTGTTTTATTCATTATGAAATTCTTATTTGTTAACTGTACATTTCGTCTCATGGTGCAATTCTATTGGCCGACATTTGGGTCGGAAAAATAATCCCCTCGAATACCACACGAGCTTCAAAATTATCTGGCATTTCCCTCAAGGTTCCCTGCAAACAAATAAAGTCGTCAAGTTTTTTAACCTGAAAAACTTGACTCCTTCATTTGTTTGCAACGAACCTATCGGGAAATACCCGATAATTTTGAAGCTCTTGTGGTATTATAAGTGATAATTAATTTTTATACCGTAGTAAAAAACTATATATTTGTCATCAAAAAGTATAGGGAGAGTAAATATAGTATCGGGATATATTAAATATCATTCTAAATAAAGGATACAATCACCATGTTATTATTAACAGGCTGAAACACACAGCAAAGTAATGGAGATTGAAGTTGGTCCCTTACAGACCTAAGTTGTCGACGCCGAGGGATGTCCCAAAGGACTAAAACCCCATCTGCACCACATGTTACCAACAAATCATTTGAAGCCGACCAATCACATCCTGAAATTGTCAAGTCAAATTTTAGATTGTCATGCATTCCATTTAATAGAGGTATTCCAAATAGGACAACTTTCTAATCAAATAAGTATAAAAATTAATTAAAAGTGTGTAACAATACCAAGCTTGGCAATCATCTATTGTTTTTCTAAACAATATTTTGAATGAATTATTTATTTAAAATAATGTAAGACATTTAAAGTCCACTTATTTTATATACTAAATAAATATTAACACTACCTGTGACAGCTTTGGAGTGTCCCTCTAGTATGAAGGCTACCCTAGGTGGAGATGCAGTGACATCACACACTGACACAGTACCATCATGTGAAGCACAACACAGCTTTGAGCGGTCATTGTTTGCAAACTTAACAATGCTCACTTGCTCTGAATGCTGGAATGTAGAATTGGTTTGGTTATAATTAGGCAACCCAATGAATTTCTTTTTACAATATTCATAACCACCAAATAGCAAAATTTTCTTAAATTTACACACAAAAGTTACTTTCTTAATATTACCTTTGAAAGACTTAGATTGGATTGAGAATAATAGCCATACCTGATCAAATATATGGTGAACTCCAGAAAAAGCATAATTTTCTGATATAGTCAGATCATTCTTCTTCTTTGCATTTATAGTAATGCTTTCATCTATTGCCAAGCTTGCCTAATAAAACAATATAATATAGTTTATTCATTAATAACAGTAATTTTTACAAGGGCACAAATTACATAAACTACAACATAAAATAAAAAAGTTGAATTCCTTTTTAAATCATGTTGACCAACAAGGTATTCATGTGACATCTTCAAAATTATCTAGAAACCAAAATAAATGTAAAATACTAAGTTCTTTACCTTACTACTGGATCGTTGCCGAGATGATGATGAGCTTATGGATATGTTGTCCTGCACTCCATATCTACGTTGAAGAAGCTGGCTCCTAATATGAATATATTTTTTTATTGTTTCAATATCCTGTAAATAAATAATGTATTTGCACAATTGAAATCACTTAAACAAAAAATATTCATGTTATATTTCTGACAAGCAAACCTTAAACTTAGCGTTTTCTCTTAAAAGCTGACTTCTCCGGCGAATGTAAAGCGTTTCTGTAAGTAATTATTAATTTTATTACTAAATGAAGTCTTAATAAGATATATTTACAAAATGCAACTTACTGAAATTAGGATTTCCTGGAGCTCTATATGCATTAAAACGAGCATCCAAAGCAAATATCTGTTGTTGAAATGCCGCTGCCATTACTAATAAATATTTGAAGAAAACCGGATCATTAAGATGTACACAAACTCCCTTTATTCGTACTAACGCCTTTACAGTACACCTACGCAATCGCGTATCTTGGTTTACAAAAATGAAAACAAAAACATTTCGCCTGTCGGATCATCGGATTTGTTTAATTTGATAAGATCCGTGATAAATGACAAATGACTAGTCTGACAATACGAAATCATTTGACACTGAAATATAATGGCGCGATAAGCGATTCATTAGACGTACGACAGCCAAATATTTAAATAATTACGATTGATAGACATTAATATGAAATTGACTGTTATGTTATTAATCAAACTTTCATTAATTATATAAGTTGTTTGTTATTAAGTATTGACTGCCATTTGTAGTAGTTATTCAAGTTTCAGGTAAAATTGTCTTTATCTTCACGAAAATAATAACATTCACGGCTTACAATCGAATTACAGGTAGGTGACATGAAAATATTTATTTGAATACTAACTAATTTGTCAATGTCATATATATGTACAGCTGGTACTTATCGTCTAAAGTGCCCTGGGGCCTTAGTCAAGATGCCTTAACAGTAGTGTATGTAGAACGTCAAAAACTAAATTTGTATGAAAACTTTTCGACACGAACTGTCATTTCCATACAAATTTAGTTTTCGACTTTCTACATACACTACTGTTAAGCCATCTTGGCTAGACCCCCTGTAAACGATCAAATTTGCTTGACAAATTTGTTTGTCAAACTTCACGTTTTCATCAAACAATAGCTTAAACGATCAAACCAAATATAAAACAAATTTGAAAAACTTTCTAGTAGATTCAGGTTTCTCCTGACGTCGCCGTGCCGAGCGCTTACAATGAGTAATTCAGATTACGCATTTTTGGCATTGACTAGCACTGTGTACAAAAAAAAGAAGACGAGTCGAGAATGGTTGAAATTAAGAGATAAATATACCCATGAGAATTTGCTACGGGAAATATTGCGTACAGAAAGAACCTGAAGACTTCCTGCGCATGGACCATAAAACTTTTGACCATTTACTGACTATACTCCGTCCTCGTATTGAAAAAAATAAAGTTTTTGTCCATATAATCTTTTGATTTTATTTTCCATAACATCGGCATATCACGATAAACAGATATGAAATGCAACGTAAATTCTTTGTTCGTAATATTGCCACTAATATCGTCACTGAGCGTAGCGTCCTCCATGATGTCAATACAACCAGTGAGATCTTGTTTGACAAACACCGCCGTACACGTTCAAACCTGTTTGTGAAACTCGACATCAATCCAGATTTTCATCAAAAACGCCTCAAACACAGCAGTACACTATCAAATAATTTGACAAACACGTAAAATTTGATCGTTTACAGGGCACTTAACGCTTTTAATACTATCGACAATATGCGAGAACAAAAAAATATAAAAGTTATTATAATTATGTTTATATAATATTAATTTAAAATCTACCTACAATTGTTAAAAATTAACTTCAAATAGGTACCTAATAGATTGTTATCTAGCACTAAATGTAGGTTGTGTCCACTACAATTTCCCGGTAATAAATTACTTCACGTGACAGGCATTATTAATCAAAAATTATCATTAATCTTTTGCTGCACTTTATAATACAAACTACATTTTCATTTTCCTTCGCGTTCCTAGAAAAATAATTCATCTTGTGCTCAAGGCTCGAACTTTAATCCAATCGTAATATATTACAAATTAAATTTTATTTCAATGAGAATAAGAAATTCATGGGAATCAAATGTAATCGAATTTATAGATAAGTTCATCTACATATTTGACCGTTTATATATCAAAGTTTGTGAAATTCACTTTTTAAAAATTGTGTTATTTACTTATACATAATATAAACATACTTGTTAGTATATAATTTCTTAGTAATTAATTACAATAATGTTCTATATATTAGTCAAAGTGAATGAAAACTCTTGTTTTCGTAAATTTTTAATCTTCCATGGGCAAGTCAAATGAATAATACAAATTTTAAACAATCTAATTGAGATCTTTTTTTTACTGTGTGCCAATAATAAATAGCTTTTAATAAAGATAAACTAGTAAAAATTCTAATAATGCTTTCAACTAACAATTATTTGCTTGTTACCTAATATTTCGTTACAATTCAAATGAAAGCTGTTATCACCTTGTTTACGTTACGTTTAGGGGTTAAAATGATTGATTGCATGATTGAACATTTTTGTTCTCCTTATTAATACTTTTCGTCCATCCTCATAATTAATAATTTCAGCTTTCGTGAATGACGTGTCCGTATCACATATCATGATTATATTAATATTGTTGTTTTTTATATTCTCTTTTCTTTCATTTCATAGAGAACACAAATATAATATATTTATTTATTAAAGTTCGCCACATCATACATAATGGCTATATCTAAAGTATATGTTATAAGAATTATCCTCAACATAAATGTTACAAAAATAGAAATAATAAAATTAAAAAATTACCAGTAAAACAGCTAATTAGGTATCAGATAGGCATTAAACAATGATTTTTTTTAATTTAGCTCACTACCGAATATGTCAAGCTCTTGATAAGTAGTGTTTATTCTGTTATATTCGCGAAGAATTTGAATAAGAGGTGCCTGAATTCCTTGATTGGTTTTTCTTACGAAATTTGGAAAATTCTGCTGTTTATTAATTTATATAACATAGTTTGCCTGTATTTTTTGTCTGATTCGTTGATGTGAGCCGCTTCATCAGGCATAGATAATATTATCTATAAATGTTTATTTAACTTACATTTATATAGGGTTTGACGTTTTAATTCAAAAGTTACTGATATAAGCGTTATATAATAAACATTTGACGCCCTCGACAATGCACTGAGTGCGGCGCACGCGCTGAGGCCAACAATTTCCCGGAATACTTATTTCCGATTCCGAAATACTCCACTCAGTTATACTGAGAAACGAGCGTTATTCTGGGACACTACACCCGAAACGCGTTGCTTTCTATGCCTCCGTTATAACACGGTAAAGGCGATACATAACTTAGTATGACAAGTTTCATCATTGATAATTTCATAGAAGCCGTTTCTGTGAATGAAAATTATAATAATAAGTTTTAATTATAATATTAATTTACCGATTTAAATAATATTATCGTTTGTTGATCTAAACAAAAATAAATGGTTCTCTATTTCATAGAAATCATTAATTTATTCGTGATTGATTATAATCTATTCAATTAAATACACAACCAATCGAAACTATTCCTAGTAATTAATTAAAACTGTTATGAATGCCTAAAAGATTATAAATTTCAGATTATATATTATTTTAAGTATATTTTTATTGTAATATAAGTCGACGGTGGCCAGAAAAATGGTCATAAATTGATTTCCACTGTCACATAAAAGCAATAATTAATAGAATTGTTATTTTAAATATGAAAGTACATAAACAAATGTATTGTAACAATTAATTGCTATTTTATTGCCATAATTATATAATCTATATTAATTTAATGTTAAAAAAGCTGTGCCCTTATTAATACTATGAATAAGATAAGTATACTAATCTTTATCACATTATTTGATAAGCTACACAAAGCTTTTACTATGAATGAAGATGTCGCTGACCGCGAATATCGTGTTTTACGATAGATGATAGATACAGAATAACATTTGCTTGGCGCCATAAAATCTTCAAAGTTACTTTTTCATTTTCATATTTAGGTACTGTCGACTGAGTGGATCAGGACCTATTGTAATTGAAAGACCAGTAACAGCCAGAGTGATAGGCACATAAGGTTTTTGAAACACAGTGATCAAGAATATTAAAGTTTTTACCATTATAGCGCCATTTTTAAGGATGTGTTGACCGCTATACCGAAGTTTCGCGTCATTTCAAGCAAGAATTGTATTTAATGGCGTAAAATAATAAGTCAGTCAGACTTTGTATCTATGTTTAACTGTCTTAAAATAGAACCCATGGAACATCATTCGATCATAAAAATTATTTTTATTTTCTTAGTCGCATATAATATAAATATTTACACATTTCATTATTTTTGTTTATCTATACATCTATTGTTTATTTTTGCTGTCAATGATTTTGCCTTTGGTGTTGAAATCGGTTTCAATTGTTAATGTTCTAATATTTTTGAATCTAACTTAATTATTTATTTACAGCTTAGCCAAATTTTACTAAAAATATTATAAAACTTTTTTTTTATATGGCCAAACGGGCTTCTTAAAAGGGCAGTCATCGCAGCCCATGGATACCTATCTTAGTGGGTGCGTTGCCGGTCTTTGACTGAGGAGTATATTTTTTCCTGACCCCACCGGGAGTCGATTTCACAGATCGCTAGTTTGCAAAAGAAAATGTCTTGTAAAGCAGACCGTGGATGATTATACAATTAAGTGATTTTTGTTAAATTTCCACAAAAACTCTTGCTATCCATTAATCTTTTCTAAGTACATTTTTAAATCATTTATACATTTAAAATATTAGAAGGCAAAATATAGAATTTTTATCAAGAGATCCCAATTGTTAGCGGACAGAACATCAGCGATTTTCATTGAAATAATTAGGTTCAAACGTACCTACAGGGGGATTAAATTTCCAAGTGAAATTCGTATTCTTAGAATACTTGCCAATTCTATTGTATAAATAAGATGTTCATAAAACATGTATTTTTTTTTACTTACATAAGGCGAGTTAACTGCCAGATAGAAGATATTGCCAACTTTAAGCGTGCTTAATAATATTGTCTCGTCTAATTATGTCGTATTTAATAATTTCTGCGAACATAACATGACGTTTCAAATTCAGTCTTTCACAGTCCCCATTCTCTTTGTCTATATAAATAAAATGCAAGAATAAATTTAAATATTTTATTTGCCATACAGTACATACATAAAACAGTTAAAATCCATCCATACAACATCGTATGCATATAATATACTTCATTAAAACTGATTAAAAATGGTTATTTACAATAAAATTACATCTAAAATAAAATGGACTCGTACACAGCTGTTCTTATTTAGGCGGGTTACTTTAACAACATTAAACTTTAAAAATAATTCAATATCGGTCAAAGTTTCTTTAATATTTGAGCTATTATAATTTTGTGTACAGTACCAAAATGTCAATCATTTCCAATCTTGCGTAATGTGTTGGCTAAGCAGAAATGTGTTTTTATTTTTAATTCTAATAAAACCTTCGTTGTCTTACATATTTTGATAGTCCACAGAACAACATGTTACAATCTATAGAGGTCCTAGTATGACGTTTGTTACGTAATTGTAGCCTTTTCACTTTCAATAAAAAAATTACAACTGAGATAATAATATTACATGTGTTGAAAATTATCCATGTTAGACCCGTATTGCAAAACACAAGGCATATATCACTTCATGCAATTTTATGCAAATATTGAATCATCAATGTAAACATCAGTCTGTTTTGAAGTACGAGCGTCTATGAGGAAAAAAATTCAGGCAAAAAAAGTTTATATTTAACATACGTCATACTACGAACATTTCGGGACACATGCAGGCATTGACTTAGTTACTAAACCACGACACATGACTATTCATTGACGACTTTAAAATGCAGTGTAAATCTAACACATAGATTAAAAACTTCAGTCAAAACTTAACATAATAACATCTAAAATAAGGCAAGTAGCTAATTGTTAAAATTACTTATATACTTAACATTAATAGTTTATACAGTAAAACATACAACTGCTGTATACTATGTACAGTAACAAATCTTTTATAATTTAGCGTGTTTGCAAGCGCCTTATACTATTCAGATATTTTATAGGAATCAACAGATATATGGACGATTTAGGTACAATGTGAGTCCCAAAAGCTCCAAGAAATAGAATTCGTCGTTATTCACATTCAGACTATCAGGCATACGGTAATACCCTTGTCTCAATTGTTATCAGTACATACATTTAACAAATATCTCCATTACAGATAAAGTACACGAACTATAAAAAGAAGACAACTCTGCCTCTATCAAAGACAATTTTTCTAACTGTCAACTTGTCAATTGCTATTACTCAATTATGTGTTTATTATTTAGCACATTCGCGTGCGCAAAATAATTCATCTATAACAATATAATTGGCGAACACAATAAGCTTGTTACAATGGCATAGACAAACATTTATACGCATGAGAAACGATTAATTAATTCGATTATTCTGTCATTATATCAGCTGTCAAAGCTATGAATATTAACTATTAAATGTCGCAGATATTTAAAAGAAAACTTTACGGTCGTATTTGGAGTGGTCACCAACAAAATATCTTTTTACACTAATACATTTAAATACATATGATTCAAGAGATCTCTATAATTTAAGATACAAATCTCCTTGTTGAGTGGCAAGGGTATGCCTATTTCTATCGTCTTTGACTTTAATTCCCGTTAGAACATGGGTAGGATTCTTTTTTATACTGTCTATTCCTTCGTGTAATTTTAAATTGATTTTTCATTTACGTCATAAAATTCAAAGCGATCATTTATAGTAATGCGGTGATGTAAAACAGTTATGTGCCCTTATAATTGAAATCGATTGAAGTGCGTAATATGAATTAATCGACATTTAATTAGGCAAAGCTCAGTAGAATCGTTTAATAGAAATTATCAAACAAATAAATGTCCACGTGACTCATGTTTTAGACGAAACAACAGAAGATTGTATAATTATGTTTACGTAACATTTAACTTGCGCAGACCATGAATCAACACCAACCGTTTGCGAATTCCCAATTCGCCAAATTTTTTAAAAATTTGTTAATTTTATAACAATAGCAATTGAATAATTTTGAACATTATTAAAAGGATTATCTACTAACAATTACAAGACCATAAATTTTAATATAAATTTTCAACGTATGTAGATAAAATTATACGATTTTCAAATTGATTTCTTCATTCTGAAACTTTTCGATCACATCGCTTCTTACTCAAATAATTTAATTTTATAATTTGACATGCCTCATTTAATAGCAATCTGTGGAAGCTATAATCTATACCAAGCACCTCTCTTATCTACGATTCAACAAGCTCTCTTTAATCGTGTGAAGTTAATCCACGTAAGCTCATTCGTCGAACTAACTGTAGCTTTAGCACCTTGCATACAAATGACCGATACTCAACGATTTATCTACAAATAAGCCCCAATTCTCGAGATTTTTCAATTCCAACTTTATTAGCCGTATTTCAAAAACGCCGAATGTCACAATTTCATCAAAAGTTACGCAACTTGAAAGTAATCGTGTTAGAATTTTTGTATATGCAATTTTAATTATTCGGAGAAATGCATAATTTTAACGCTTTATTAATGTTCTCTCGATTTTTTTCCATTTAGGGACCCATAATCCCAAACACATGTTGACAGTCCTAAAACTATAAAAACTAAGACACATGTGACATAAAAACTAACAGGACCAGCATTATTAATCACTATATTCAACTCCAACGCAAAAGTGAGGTTCGACGCGTGTCTCTAAAAAACAGTGGAACCAATTTCATCAATTTCAAGAAACCTTTTAGAGAACACTAATTGCCAAATAATTATTAAATACCTAACTTGAAATTATAAGACGCCGATCTAAGAAATAATTAATTACTTTGAACTTCGGTAAACGTGAACTTAATATGTAATTGGAAGTTTGATCCTAATAATTTTCCACATTTAAACAATTCGTAAGTTACTTTCGTAATAGGAATAATTAATTTTTTATACGAAACGAGACATAATGTTATCAAATTCAGCTGATTAGACGTGGCTTTGTACAATTCCCGCATCCTTTATCTACAGTAGATTACAAGTTTTTATTCTCAATTCTGGAAATGCTAATCACACGAACCAGTTGATAGTTTGCGTCGAAGGCTGTTTATGTTGCGCTGCACCTTCCACGAAACGAAAGCGAGACCCCGCGTCGCTAGTGAGAAGGGCGATTATCATAACAACCTCCAGGAACCAAAAATTTTAAATCGCTTATGCCGTAACTTACAAATTTTTATCAGTATAGAAACGAAGGGATTTAGAAAGCTCAAGCTAAAAACTCACAGTTAAATAATTTAATTCAATTCGAAGAAATTTTAATATCGCTTTAATCACCTAAAAGTAAACATCGTTAATCGATTCGGTAACATTAGACGCTTCCGAGAAGAACGATTATACACCAAAACCGCAAGAACAGGTCTTCTGATGGCTCTAACTTGCGTAAGATATACGATACCAAATTTCTTAGTACGGGGGCCATAATAAAATTTACAATTTCAAACATTTGAGTGAATTCAGGTTTATTTACAAATTAAACGATTCCGAGAAGCGACAATTACCTAGTGAGGTCAATCGGGCAAGATTAGTACAAATTCGTGGTACAAGCAAAGATATAATTTAACTTCATATAAACAATTAATGAATGAGCGGTTACAAAAATTAAGTGGATACTTTAGAAGAATAATACAATTAGGCCGAACTTCTAGTTTCTAAGACGGAATTAAACAGAAATTGATTCCGTCCTTATTACTTTGATAAAAACATTTTACCACCGTCACTTCCAATCCTCATCACTCGAAGACTGTTGTGGATCAGACTGTTCCTCTGGTTCGGGGATGATGCTGGCAAGAGTATGAAGAACTGTGCCACCTGACGCTCTTTCGGCACCAGATATCCCGCGGCGACGCATCGATAACTTGGCGTGGAGATCGGCCATTAGGTCCCCACCTGGCTTCGAGATACTACTGGTTGCCCCCTGCAGAGAAATATTATATGATTATTTTATTCAAACCCATAAACATACATAAGTATTCCCGTAGGTACTATATGTATAAGAAAAACAGAAAAGAGCATAGAGTATAGACCATTCAAATGTAGTAAGAAGTATAATATTAGTAACTTAGCAAGTGGGTTTTAAGATCAGTATTGCAGTAGTGGTTCCAACGTGCGACTGCGATCCCTGGGTTCGATCCCCGGTTGTGCACCAATAGACTTTCTAAATGCGCATTTAACATTCGCTCGTACGGTGAAGGATAACATCGTGGGGAAACCGGCATGCCTTAGAACCAAAAAGTCGACGCCGTATGTCAGGCACAGAAGAAGGATCACCTAGTTCCCTATTAGAAATCTGAGGCCCAGACCTAAAAAGGTTGTAACGCTATTGGTATACATAAGCGGCTTTTTGTGCTCGGTATTCAAGCTACGCTAAATAAGCTTTGTGAGTGAACCACAGAGTCATGGCAACCCAAAGACCAAGCCACATTTATACACATGAATATGGAAAACCAACAAAGAATTCAATTGTAGCTATTCAACATTTTCGGAGCTTCATTTATTATCCGAATGATAATATTTTTTTAAACAGGGTTTTCAAAGCTCTCATTTCTAGTGACGCGTTTTCATTGTTATTTTAAGCTTCATATATCATGTTCTCAAATTAAATAGAAAATTCGTGTAAAATCTATCATATCCAATATCTACCTTTTAGGGTTACCAGGTTTACTCTAATATTTATTAAAGATTCAATATACTATTTTTTAATAGAACATGGGACAAATGGGCAGGAGCCTCACCTGGTGTTAAGTGATACCGCCTATGGACGCTCTCAATGCCAGAGGGCTCTCGAGTGTGTTGCAGGCCTCTTAAGAATCCGCTCTTTTCTAGGGCCCCTAAGTCATATTGGTTCAGAAATACTTTAGTGGGCAGCGGATAAAACGCCCTTAATACTTGCATTCTAGACTATAAATCATATATTTGTATATCAAAAACATTATTTCCATTAATAATTTATATAAAAAGTTTAGTCTCTGTGGCGATTAATAATAATGTTTTGTGTTAACGGTCACAATATCTGTAAACAAATTGTTTAATGAATGACGAAATACCGAGAACTAGAAACTACTTAAGGTCAATGGCATACTGATAACATTATATGAAGAAATTGTAAATATAACAATTACCAGAACTAGCGGAAACACGAGCACGAACTCTGTTATCTAGTTCGGATATTATTACGATAAATTAATTGTTGTTTTAATAGATTCTCTGAAACCTATAACAATAATGTATTTTTCTAACCGATATAATTCTTGAAAATATTGTTACTTCATTGAGTCGTATATATATATTAGTTTCATAAACGCTCAAAATAGAATTTAACATTAATTTCCTTCCGGACAAACAATATATAGCTCGAATAGCACGCTTCACATCAAAACAACACAAAAATACATTTGGAAGGGATTCTCTAGAATAGTTTTACACAACATTGGAAATACCTAAAAGGCAAATTAACTTTTAAAGAAACTCGACGTTATTTCAATTTACTTAGAAATTAGCACGGTCCGAACTTGACAACACATACATATAGCAAGATGAATTTTCGACAAACACTTCGATCGGTTCGATTGATGACAATGTCATTTCAAGTACGCAGAGATCTTCGCGGTTAGTCATTGGTGACGGATAAATTGTATTATACAGGCTCAATCACTTAACAATGGCCAACAGGATAACGTTCAATTGGATAATTTTAGTTTTAAACATTTGGATGTACGGGCTCTTCATTTTTATCGCCATTTCACAAGTATTTACCGAGAAGCGGCATAAACGCATTCTGCGTAGTGCAAAATGTGAATTCTTAAGGCGGTCATGATCATTCCAAGGATTCGTAACGAGTTTCGCGTGCACTTGAATTTCGTTAATAATTGGGGCTCTTCCCGTAACACGAATTCATCAAACATCGATGTAATAATTATGCATACGCAATCTTTGACGATAAACTGTCATAATGTTTTTAAAAGTTATTTATGTTTAAGCAAAGAACGAAGTCTTGAGACGATGTATCGTTTTTTCTGGACAGGTGTCTAATGGGTCTAAACAAAAAATAAAAAACTTGGCGATTAAAAAGAGTGGCGGAAAGTTTATTGCCAGTTCTTCTCTTCTGTCCTACGCCTTTGATTTGAGAACTGGCAGTATATGTAAAATTGGAATCATTTAATATATATTTCTTTTTTGACGTTCATAAGAAATGAAATGAAATAAATAGTTTATTCTTGCAAGTAGGACTATATAAATCACTTTTACAATGTCATCCTAAACTAGATGAAGTCGACATTTCCTAACTGACTGCCCTGAGAAGAAATGTCGAAACAAACTCGGGGGTCTTAGTCTCTTTTATAGTCCAGATAATACAATAATAAATTAATAAATTGGTGTAAACAAATGCAGAGTATTTACTGGACTGGTCTTTGGAAGAAAGAACCAGATCGATCTGAGCAAGCCTGTGCCAGCAGACGGCAAGCATGCCCCGAATAGCTCATGCAGCTCAACCATTTTTGAGGGAGCTGCACAACCCGGTACACAGCAATACCGCCAGTGGCACCATAAAAATATGTGGGGCAACAACTCACTCAGATCGCCAGCCCAAAATAACTATATACTAAAATGTATCAAATTATAAATCAAGCAAAAGAGTTTATGATATACCCGCATAATGTTTACACTTACAATGGATACAAAATGTATTTTTAAGGTGTACCTTAAAGCAAGGAAAGTCGATACAGGTTTGTAAAGTGATACAGATAAAAAATGATTCATTTGTATTTAACTGACTAGGTAAACCAAGAAAGCGTTACAGCATACATACTATATACATTTATATATATTGTGCACAATATACAAGAACATTTAGCTTCTAAGCTATTTATGTACCTGGAACTGCCATATTCTAAGTTTAACTTTGACTACACAATAGAGAAAACGGATGCTTCTCCCGTGTTAACCATTGAAATATTCTAACAATATCTTCTACTTAACAGAAGTATCAAATATGAATTTAAACTTGTACACGAAAATTGCAAGATTAATTTATACGACAAACGTTGTTTTGCCATGTACTTACCTATATCATTTCTATGAAACATTGTTTTAGTTTAATAAAAATAACTATCTGCTATAATAAAAAATAGGGGCTGAAAGGAGGTGAAAATTAAGGGTTGTATGTATTTTTGTATGCTGTATCATAAAAAAATAAAAACAAAAAATTTTGTCTAAAAAATAAAAAATTTTGTCTAAAAAATAAAAAAATTTTTTTTAGTGTGGACAGCTCTTATCACTTAGGGGTTGAAAGATAGATAGTAGCCGATTCTCAGACTTACTAAATATGCATAAAAAATTTCATAAGAATCGGTCGAGCCGTTTCGGAGGAGTATGGGAACGAACATTGTGACACGAGCATTTTATATATATGTACAAACATCGAAAATACCACCAAATACTTGCATATATTAAACGCGTTTTAAGTGTCTTAACTTAGTTAATTTAAGTTCTATATAGACCAATGAAAAATATTGATACTTTCTATTATCACTAACCCTAATTGTTTCACCAATCAAGCTCCAGGACCGTCAGGTGTGAGATTAGTCATAGTATTTTTTCGTACAATTCTAGGGATTCCATACAACACATAATTCGCCGTAGCAAACTAGAGCTCACGTTTTGCAGGTATATTTTTTATACATTTGACTTTATAAAGGTAGTAAACGGGCAAGGGGTATTGTATGGAACAATGGTCATACGACCCGGCTCCGCCAAGTCCTTAGAACACATTCTTTACAATTCCGAATAATCGATCCATTTTACCATTCTCTAGGACTTGTTCCAGCATTCATTTCCTTTGTGCGCTGTTATTTGACGCCCCGACGTGTGCCTTATTTTCTAGTGAACTGTATATTTACCCATGCACAGTACACGTTGTATTCAGACACACTCCGATTTAACGCTAAAAATCAGTTGACAAAGAATATCAAAGAATTTCCATCGTATATATTCTATCTCCTATTCCGCTCGAAATTAATCAAATTATTATTGAATAGGTATATACGTAGAAGAAAATAAAAACATATCCGTTATATATCCTACAAAAAAATTACTTCCAAAAAAAACAGGTAAGATTGAAAATGACTAAGAAATTCCAATTTCCGATATGGACACATTAACCATAGAGTAAAGAGCCAAAAGCTGATGTCATAGATAAGAATTTATTCAAACAACGGACGTATTCAGGGAAAAATGTATAAAAACAAAACACAAACATGTTTCCAAAAGACAAACAGCTGAGAAGTAGGAATTTGTATCTTTTAGTGAAAGGCGAAAGTCGAAAATTGCGTAAACCTCGCGACCATTCCAGAGAAACGCGACAAAAGAGTGTATGCGCAGAGACATTGATTCTGTGTATTGTTTGTAATTAGTGATCGATGAAAAATTCTATGTAATCCATGAGCATATCTTATCCTGTTCCATGAACTATGCTATTTTCATTCATTATGAACATATCTATGTATATCAAAATGAATTGCTGTTCGTTGGTCTCGCTAAAACTCAATAATGGCTGGACCGATTTGGTAATTATGAACTTGAAATAGTTGTGGAAGTTCAGGGAAGGTTTAAACGGGAAAGAAAAATAATAAGTCAAGAATTGGAATGGGATATTTGATGTCTTTTTAGAAATAAAAAATTGTCACTTTGTTGTCATATAAAATGCCTTTAGAAATTTGTGTTTCATAGCTGTAGTAGGCGGTCCGATCTCTTTGGTCTGTTTTAAAATTTTATATGAAGTTTTGACACAAACATATTTAGGTGATTCGAAGTTCACCGGGTATTAAATAAATAGTACCGTTTTAATTTTTGAAATTAGAATAATTTTATTCTTCCATTTTATTCTCTATAGTACTTTACCACCATGCAACGGCTAAGTGCATTAAATATATAACCCTCATCTGTGTTAGAATTTCATCATAACGTCATCTATGTAACGTCTTACAAATTTTAAGGTAACTTTCGACTTAAGGTCATCCGAGACCCAAGTCACATTTGGTAGTACGCCCCGGTATGCTATGTCCGGTCCAACTGGGAGACAAGTTATGGCAAAACTGTGACAAAACATAAATACTTCAGCGAAGCATCGCGCCTCAGGCACTCGCGGAATCCACCGTATGACAGACCGGTTTGAATTGATACGAACGAATTCATTATGTCCTCGAAATTTTTGAAATAACAATACGTATTAATTATATAAAAAAATAGTATATAAGGATTACATTAAGTTATTATATTTAATATTAGTACAGGATCTGAAGGCCTCATCCACATTCTTCCATTTGGCTCTATCTGCCCAGGTTTCTGGTGAGCATCCACTCTTTTTCCCACTGGGCCATTTCAAGGGTCTTTTTGACCAATGTCATCAATACTTTGTTTTTAATTTTCTACCAAAAAAACAAATTAATTACCGATATACGTAGCTATTAAAATATATGAAGAGAAACTTCTTCATGAGGGAAAATTGGTAGCCGTGCCGGTCTAAGACATAGCATTGGGCTACTTTATATTATATACTAGCTGCGCCCGTGAACTTCGTTTTACCTTAATATGATTGTTTTACATAGCCTACCTTTTTAGTAGCTACAAACCAACATATCGAATATTTTGCTATGCTAAAATGCTGTTTCCTTTTTTTAGAATAAATAGTAGGTACTTAATAAAACTAAATATCTCCAATTTTTCTCTCCATAAAAACCTTATTCAGTAATAAATTTAACGGCAAAATAAATAATAGCAACATTTTTTTTCATTTTATTAAAATAGATGAGGCCCAAACTTCGTTATTTCAGTTTAGGGCAATTTAAATTTGTATAAAGATACTAAAATATTTATTTTAGGACAGTAAGAGGACCTTGAATAAAATTAAATACAAAACTCCGCGAGTTTACAGTAGCGTCATATATTTTGTGGAATTAATATTGTTATTAAATTTTAAGGAATTTCAAGTGTATGTTTCTTTATGAATAAATAAACTCCTATTCTATATATATTATATATATATCTAGGCTAGTTTAATTGCACTGCATGAAACCGCAGGGATTTGTTTAATATAGAAACAGCAGGAAGTCAATTAATCTTAGTCCAACGTTTCAACGGTCCAACATCAAGTAAAAAGTTTCGATGGTCGGGTAGCGTACATATTGGCTTCTAAACAATGTACTCCTATTACTTTAATAACCCTTACTTGATGAGATCTTAGAAGTAGATTTAGCAATATCATCAACCCGTACAGAATTACCCTAAACATTCAACGCCCCATAGAATGCAATTGAAAACCCAAATCTTACATGGTTCAAGAGTCAAGATAATTTTTAATAAAATTATTATATGTATGATATTATGTAATCATAATCGACGAACATATACATATACTCCCTGTAGCTTTTCAAAAGCAGTATTGGCTAGTAGGTTCAGCGCGCGACTGTTATCCACGAGGTCGTAGGTACGATACTATGGACTTTCTATTTGAGCATCTAACACTAGATCGTACGGAAGAAAACATCGTGAGGAAACCGGCATGTGTCAGATCCAAAAATCAAGGACGTATTTCAGACAGAATATCGCCTACTTCTCGATGATATAAATATTATCAAAAAACGGATTACAATCTGACACCAAGACCCATGTTCTAGCGCCTCAGAATTATTATAAGGTTTGAACAGAGCATTTTATGTAAACATAGACAAGAAAACGTACAAATACAAAAGTCAATAAAAATTGAATAACCTCTACAATAGATTTTAATGTATCATTATACTTATACAAATGTTGTTTATTAGAATTTGTTTTCTTTAAATAGGACAGGGGGATAAAGCTGCCTACGGGCCGCCCATAAAGGGTAGCAATAGCAGCCCATGGGCACCCATTTTAGTGGGTGCGTTGCCGGATTTAATAATTATATTTCCTCAAAGGAAATTTGTAGGAATAACACCAGGATAAATTTAAAAATTCTTCAACTTTCAATTTGCAATTCCGTCATTTGTTCTAGACTTGGCACACTTTAATATGTAGGTACGAGGCGCCTCTAAATAAATATAAATATACAGACAAGATTGTATCAAAGCCTATATTCAGAAAAGCGTGCGTGTAACAATGTAAATGCGTTTTTATAACTAGATAAAAGTACGGAATACGAAGAAAGTATAATGGAGAAAATAAAGGAAGACAAATCCGGATATATGTATAATTTATTCATGCACGTGGAATCTCACAGACAATAATACGATTATTATTACGTTATCGGATCCACATAATAATGTTCCCAGAACTGGAATAGCCTCTGCTACAATTATGTCGCTTCGACGAAACATGCGCTGATCGTAATAATTATTTGTAATCTAACAGAAATAGATTAAGCTTTTTATGAAGAGGCGCCGGCGCCAGAGACAAAAAACTTCCAGGTGTAAGGATTTTCCTCTTACAATATTTGAAAATATTCGTCGATTATTTAATTCTGTTTTAACTACGCTTTAGCCGAATGAATTATAAAATATACTAATTCTGGATAATTAACGTTTTTTTTAAAAACAACCCACTTGGAGATTATATTAAAACATCGTCTATATTCCATTAAATCATTGTGATGTGACGCGAATTTAGAATCTTGAATACTTAGGCGTTATAAGAACGTTCAAGAAATATAAAAACTTCTTGCACTTTACCCTTAGTATTTCTTTTTTTTATATGGTTTGGCGGGACAGCTTGTTAGCCATAAGGCCGCCCGAAGCATCCCTAATAATTAATTACTTGTTATTATTTGTAATGTAACGAATTTATAATACATAAATATTAAATATAGACAAACACTACGGCAAAGACAACATTCTAGAAAACAGTAGAAATTCGAAACAACAAAAGTGAGACAACTAAAGATCGTATAACATCTCATCTTTATCAAAGCGGCGCCAGGAGGACTGCTTCCGAGAACAGCAAGTTTCCGAAGCATATTCACAACAAACAAGTCTTAGTAAATAATAAACATCTTATTGTCTAACAACTCTATTAAGTAATTAATTAATATTTAAACTAAGACACAACATAAACGAAGTTTTCCTCATTTTCAATCTCAATTCGTAAAGCTTAAAAGCCCTCAATTAAATCCATAAAGTGTAGAGCATTATACATATTTACCTACTATAGTGATATGTAATTAACAGAAACTTCCAAATTCCATCTGCAAAAACCAACCTAGGAGTTCAGGCATCTCTCGTTAGAATTCTTCGCGAATATAACAGTAAAAATACTACTTATCAAGATTTATATATTCGGTTTAAAAAAAGCATTGTTAAGTGCCTAATCTGCATTGTGAAGCAAAAAATTACTAGTAAAATCTAAAATTGTTAGTGGATTTTTCGTTTTTGTAACATTTTAGAAGAGATATTTGTAAAGCATATGTATGATGTGGTGATAAATAAACAAATAAAATAAAACCTTTATAATAATAATAATCACAGAAACCTTAATAAGGTTAAATGCCCCTAAATATTTAATTAAGTATTACCCATACTGTTTATATCAATTAACGTTAATCATCAATTATATACGGAAAACCATTGTCAGATAACATGCCTAACAAATTTAAGCCTAATAAACATAACAATAACAAAGGATATAATACCAAAGCTTCATAATATTATTTCTATTTGAATTTGATAAATAGTTTTATTTTAGAATATGTAAAGTTTAATATACATATGTATAAGTTATAGTACATACTATAACTTACAAGCGTTCCAAATATATATTATATCTTACAAAGAGAGACATGCCATGGATATCGGAGATGATGCGGGGACAGTGGGGCTGGGTCTACAGGGCCCTTAGGGTGGGCCCTCGGGCTGATATCCGACATAGAGCTCAATCAGCCACCTCCCCCCCCCAACACATGCGACCAGACCCCAATCACTCAGCAGCCTCCTTCAGCATTACATGCTCACAGAAGGAGACTATTACACTCCAGTCGACCTCACTTCCTAACATAGCCACGCCGAAGCCACGAGGCCAACACTGCTTTATTTTTAAAACAGTTTTATAAAATCTACTCACTAAATACTGACGTGAGACTGATCTAAAGTTATCGTCATATGTGCACTTTTTATATTTTATGTAAACTTTTTTAGTTTAGGCTTTTTTTTGTTCCTGTTTAGTTTTTTATTATATGTATCATGTATTTTTGCACTTCTTGCTTAAATTATCTAGTTTAATTTAAAAAAAATCACAGTGGTTGCCTGGAAGAGATCGCTCGAAGGCGATAAGGCCGCCAGTTACCCTCCTTTTCATTTAATTATGTCAATTGTATTATGTTGCAACGAAGTGTTAATAAATACATAAATAACTGTTTATATTCTTTCAACGTAACTTGAAATTTGGTCTTATGCACTTAAAGAAACACGTACCTTTTCTGATATATTATCTGCAGCTTTCAGCTTGGCTCTGCCCGCACCTCCTGCCTGGCGAATCGCCGCCATGAGGTTAGCATGAGCGTCACCTCCTGAAGGTGGAGCTGGGATCTCTTCCCTGCTGGACAATAAAATATTTACATTAACTTTTGAATAACTGGTTCCAAAATAAGTTCATATAAAACGTCAATGATTACAAATTACACAATTTCTTTCACATGATTGATTAATGAATAAACAATTTAGTTTATTCAATTTTCGTAATTTAAACCAAGTGTTGAGAAAGTTGTTTTACTGGCTATTTTCCCCTTCACTTATCCGACCTCGTTGGTTTGTTAAAAAGCAATTCTTAGAAAAATTAATCTGTTACACCCGTATGTGGCAGGTACGAAATTATTATGTGCGAGTTCGCGATCAATATTCACCGAAGTCAAGGTCACACGACCATAATATGTTCGTTAAACTAATAAGCTAATGTTGCTGTACAATCTGTCCATGCGGAAAAAAAATCTAAATTAATCTGTTTAAGCTGTTTTACACTCATTACTCTGTAACTTCTCTAACAATCCCGATGTGTTTGTATGCAAGTTAGCTGCAGTTCTGATCGAATATACAAAGTAAAGATCGCTGTCCGTATCTCTACCACTCTTCTATAGATCATAATAAATAAAAAATTGCCTGTATTCGAGTACCTACTATAGTTTTATGTTAAGATTAAAATTATGACCTCTATAAATTAGACGCGAGCAGTGTTGGCCTAGTGGCTTCAGTGTGCGACTCTAATCCCTGAGATCATAGGTTCGATCGCCGGCTGAGGCAATTACTTGCCTATAAGATAAATTATCTGAGGCCCAGACCTAAAAAGCGTAGCGCTACTGATTTTTTTTAGCTTAGACGCCGTACAAAAAACTTAAATATAGTAAGGACTCAATGGATAGGCATAATTTTTTTTTTTTTAAAATTCAAAAATTTACGTGACGGTGAAACAAAAATTCGTCACAATTTCTCCGTCCACCGAAGCGTCCACATTCATTACAATAATATTAAATTACTTCAGTAAAAAGAACTAATGAATCAAAGATAAAGAGAAAATAAAGCTTGGTGATAGGTATAAATTTCGACAGTAGGAAAATGTTTGTATATTTATCAGAAATGACCAACCCTGCAAAACACATATGTGACCTTTCATTGACGGATGACAGCGCATTCGTCAACTTTTTTTATTTCAACGCGAAACATACCGAGCAATGGTGACTGTTTGCTATAACCGTCCTAGGCACATTGATTTGTATTACGAGTGGTTTGTTATACATACAAATATAATGTACCCTGAACTCAATCTATCATTTCGGCACATGTACTTCAGGCCAGTTATTATTTGTGTTTCATTACTTTATATTATGAACAGATAAAGAAAAACAAACGAATAAATAATACTCAATCTAAAAGGGTTAAGTACCTCATATTTTTATTTAAATGTAAATCCTTTATTTGCCAAGACAGTGGTACAAAATAAAAACATTTATTTACACAGACTTGCAAGGTTCGGCACACTCACACATTTAAGAAAAATTTCTTAAATGTGTGAGTGTGCCGAACAAGATTCAAACAATTCATACAAGACGAAGAGAAAAACATCGATTCATAAATTATAAAAACTAAAAGAAAGTGAATTCAAAGTGGGAAGCAACTATGGATATCCAGACCTAGCTCGTTTATCAGAATGCACAATCTGTGAGTTTTGGCCAAAACGTGTTCTTCTGAAAGGGACAAATTTGTACTGGCCTGGTATATACCAATCAATATATATGATAAAACCAATCAATGTGCGTTTCCCGTTATTTATGTTATAAAAAAAATTCAAATACCTGTAAATAGCTTCTATTTCTAGTCTTCTGCGTCTTATAAAACGTTATTTATATTGCCGGACGCAAGATCCCGTTGTTAATAATTTTCGTTGTACCAATTTAAAAACGCTCGGTCACGATCTTTTTAGGTCGATGTCTCCATTCACTGACCAATTACAACAACCGAAAAGCATCTTCAAACTCCGCACAGTCCACGCAAATAATAATGGAAAAGGACAACCTTATTTTATTGTTCTGACCCTTGTTGATTGTTTACCCGCAAATCTCAAAATAACTCCTAAAAATTATGAGGGTACTTGAAACTTTTTGGGCTACTTGGGTTGCGAGTCCTTGGCTCCGTAAATTAATTTAAATTAGATATATACATAGACGGAAGAAATTTATAATGGGGTGTGGCCCTTCAGGTCAATGTTAAATCCCTAAGAAGTTTTTTACACTTAATTTATCTATAATGTTTAAGCAATAATTTAAAAAAAACAAAGAAATTGCGAGGTTAGAACGTCAATTGTTTAATCCCTAAGTCAAATCATTTATTTCAATTAGGCCTATTAAAATATGTGTGTGTACTTATGTACACGCCTTAGAAGTTGTACTTCTTTGGTGTAACAAGATAAAAAACCTTTCAAAAATTTTATTCTACGTTTGTAGAAAAAACGACACTAACAATAGAATAAACTAAAATGTTGACTATAGCTAACTTCATGGTGTCGGTTTTTTGTTACGGTGTGCGAGCGCATCGTATAAATTTACTCTCATCATTTTTCCCTAACGTGCCAAAAGAGTATAACTTCAAAAAATGACTGTAGTTGCCCCTTCCAAAAGGTAGTGTCATATGGAGAAGAATGGACAAGAAACTCCATACTTACTCTTTTAAAATAGTTTTTACAATATTTAGTATACATTGATTTGATTATTATATGTGAAGACCATGTACATACTACTACTATACTAAAATAAAATGGTGGCGCATGGTGTTATAAAAACCAAAAACAACTAACTATACAAATACACATGGCAGCTTGCATATCGATCTGTCGGCCAATTACAAGCTCCGGCACCTATGTTTTATACAAAGTCACGTACCAGAATAAATTGAACCACCGCACAGTGGTCCATGTTCCTAAGAAAGGCGGTCATAGAGGTTGTATGTCGGATTAAAAATGAAATATTAACTTTTTTATCTTAGAAATGATTGTTTTAAGGTTTTAATGATAATAACAAGTAAAACAATAGATATATTTTTAAAAAGGTAGATGTATATTCTCAAAAAAAAGGATCCATCCGTACTAATAAATAATAGGTAGCAATAAAATAAGTTTTATTTATACATTATTTTCATGTTATGTCGTGACAACGAAGAACGGGTTTCATTTTTATATATATAGATTTCTGAAAATAGCTTAATTTACATATAAATAATACATAAGAAGTTACAAATAAACTCGAGTCATCGATTGCTGAATCTGAAAATTTCTGCTTGTATTCACTATGGCCTGTGCTGCCATCGAAACCCCATTTACCAATTAAAACAAATTCGCTTTCAGATACGGGAAGACTATCTAAAACAGGCTTTTGAGATTCAACAATTCGACTTGATGTATGATCTAACAACGATTGCAAATTAATCTCAGCAGATGATTCCGTTACGCGAATATCAGTTGGGTAGCAACGTTTTTTGGCTTCCAACACTCTTTGATAACATGGAAAAGCATTTGGTATTTTAGAATTAATCAAGTTTTTTAATAAAATGTATTGATGTTTAGTTAGTTTAGCTTCAGTAATAAATGAAACGATTTCATCAGAGTTGAATTTTAAGAAACTGTCGGCTGATTGATTGGAATCACTAAGTAAAGTATTTATAGCAGAATCATCTATTTGAGATAAAATTGCCAACCTGCGACGTTTGCTTCTCTTGCTGCATTCTCCAAACTCCTTCCTGTGCTGCGTCCTGCTTGTAGATTGAAGATATTCGCTTGTCTCGTCGTCGTTTTCATGTAGTTCTCCGTCAGAGCTCCCAAGAATGCAGACTTCGATCTCATTTAACCAGTCACCGTATTTGGCAATCAGCTTAGCTTTTGACCTCCCCAGTTTCTTCCAATATGCAGCAAACCGTTTACAGAGATTACAAATTAAATCTCTTAAGTAATCGGTCTTGATATTTTCAGTGTCCGGTAAAGAATTTGCTAGCATTTCAAACACTTCACGAGATCTATCTGCCTCATTTTCTTTACTTGTCGCATTCAACCACGTGTCTAGGACAAGCATTCGAGGAAAAGAATACTTGATGATGGATCCTACAGAATAAAAGAAATGAAAATTATAAGGTATCAAATTTACCTATATACGACTTTGTCTTTGTCATGACCTATAAGCAATCCTCGGCGCACTTTGGCGCACCTAGATGTTACAGATTCTAAAACTAGACAAACAAGAGATTATTTTGATATATGTTTCATCTTTGGGGATTCGTTCCTTCCTAAGTAAAAGTCTAATTAAATATGGCAGAGCGGTAAAACTCAAAGAAATCGTAAGTCTTTCTTGATGGTGCTGATTACAGATAACGACACGGTTAAAGTAAACACAATAGGATTAAAAATGTCGTACATACCTTCTATTTGAATATCCATGGCAAAAAATTATCACAAACAATCAATTTCCGAGAAAACAACACTTTAAAACAATAGAAATTTTGCCGACAAAGACAACGCTAATTAGCACTATTGGAATGTTATCACTTCGGTTGCACAAAATGAAATGATCCTTTCATGTTATTGTAATTGTTTTTATATCTGGGGGTAGAAGGGTTATTTGTCTACCCTGTAGTGATAAATGACGTCATAATTCAACCATCGACATTTCAGCCCTATGACCTATGGGATGGACCACTGTGCACCGTTAACATTGAACGTTCCTACTAACTTATTGCTTCGAGTGGCAACAGAGAAAATACTTCTGAGACAAGCCCTAGAGGACTGAATAATACACCAACGCTGTGTAGACAAAAATATTTATTTTGTAAATACGTACACAGATATATCATTATTTTGTTTTACTAATATCACATTTTCTTTAAGAATATTGCATTGATAATAAAAATTCTATGAAAACATTGCACGGACGCTTCTTACGAAAGACCCGTGCTCTTTCAAACAGAAACTGTTAACAATAAAATGTTCAGAAATGTACGTTGCATTTCATTCCTCATCAGATAAATGTAAGAGAAAACAAATTCTGAAAACTGGTATTAATACTAGAACTATGATATTTTTTCCTAATGTAAACACAAAACTAAGTCGGATTGACTGCTCAAATGCCGTTAAATGGTCAAAATATATATGAGTTAATCACTATCTTAAGAGTGTTCAGAGGAGTTGTTCGGATTAATACCTGCAGCTGAGTTTCATCATCGGACGTCGAGGTAGAATACGAAATTCCACCCGTATCACCTCGACATCCGTCGTTCCATAACTGAGCGTTTTTATGGCAGTTTTTGCCGCGCACCACCACTACGTGAAACTGAGCTGCCCACTGAACTATTTCCGAACCAATTCGACTTAGGGTCCTTCAAGAAAAGAGCAGTATCAATTCTTACAAGGCCGGCAACGTACTCGCCCTCTGGCATAGAGAGTACATGGGCGGTGGTATCACTTAACATCAGGTGAGCCGCTATTCTATAAAAAAGGAAAAAAAGAAACTCATTTGTCCCAGCCCCATTTGGCTGCAGACTGTCACTTGTGAACAATCTTATTACGATGTCTGAACCGCGTCTAAGGATCTAAAATATCTTATGGCACATTGCCAGACGGGCGTTGAATAAGTAGGCGCCTTGATTACGAGTGGATTTGCCAAACTACTATGAGCAATGATATTACAAAAGCATACATTTAATGTACAAATTTCCCTATTTGTTCTATTTAGTTGACAGTAAAAAATTAAGAGGAAAAATAAAATTTCTTTTGGCAGCCTAGAATACCAAACACGAAAGCAATAAGGCTGATATTTTCTCATTATTGGCACGGAAATATATACGTGCCTTTGACTCCAAAAGAAAAGCCCACTTCCATACCGAGAAATGAATTGCTCGGAATCTTTCAATTTTCATTTACTGATCAATCGAAAATAAACTGGTTCACTCGGGAAAAGTTAAATTTTATTAGAAATCCTACAATCTATAATTTATATAATAAAATGGAAGCCAATCAAAAACTTGAGATTAAAATGGATGACAACTTCTTAAACGATCTGTCTGATTTTATTTACATTGTTTTATAATAATCATTCTCTTAAAATTATGTTTTCTGATTTATACATACATCGTAAAAATTTACTTAGAACCCGACTGAACGAATTGAATACTGAGCCTTTGAGAATTTTATACTAGATTTCTTTTACTAGCAGGTTTTAAATATTTTGTTTTGGAAACATACAACGTATACAGATAAATTAAAAATGTATAAAATTTTGTCAATATATGATAGCATATTCAGAATATTAATATACAAAACTAATAATTTATAATCTTCGTTAATATGAAGGTAATTAATAATAATTTATTGCTAGAATATGGTACAAAAATGTGTAAGGTGGTATCGTAAGTTCTGCCCCGCATATTCTGCCACACACAATGGCGCGCAAATTTGTCTTTAAGGGAATTTAAATACATTTTACATTATTAGTCATATGAATTGGTCAGTTCTTATATTATTTGTATCGTACCTTATTAAATTTATATCAACTACAGTGTCTCATGCAAGTAATCATTTATTGAATAATACATTTTAATAATAATTTAAGCATAACACTTGGCAACAGAACTGACCCAAAAGCAAAAATTACCTAAATAAATAAACATAGACTAGAAGATATAGATTTAAAGATGGCCTCTTCTATATGATTTCACTGTCAATGTGAAATTAAAAATAGAAATCTTCAAGCTTACAACTCTCCACAACTTCCTGGAAAGATCGACAAGCATCGAAACAGAAACAGTAATGTGAGAAAATTAGCTTACATTTCCTTTACAATTTAATGAATCAATCATTAGTGGGGATGGAAGCTGATGGATTTTCCTGTTCTGAACTAGAATACATTAAAATGTGTTTACTATTGGGTTTCTTCAATGCTTATATTATACAGAGATAACGTTTGTAAGGTATTATACCTTCTTCAAACA